TTTGTTATTGTTATTATTATTATTATTATTATGTTATTGTAATAGGTATATCCCCTTGAATATTCATAGTGCTGGTATTGGCAGAGGTAGTCAACAGATCAGGTGTCGAAACAAAGTCAAATATAAAGGAGAAGAAAAATAAAAACAAAATAAAAGAGAAAACAGTAACATTTTGTTGTGGGCATGGGCAGTAAAATGACTGCGATACAACGAGTCCTTATGTTTGTACGTATTTGTTTATGTGCATGTTCATGTTTGTGTGTGTTCATGTTTGTGTGAGTTCATGTTTGTGTGAGTTCATGTTTGTGTGAGTTCATGTTTGTGTGAGTTCATGTTTGTGTGAGTTCATGTTTGTGTGAGTCCATGTTTGTGTGAGTCCATGTTTGTGTGAGTCCATGTTTGTGTGAGTCCATGTGTGTGTGAGTCCATGTTTGTGTGAGTCCATGTTTGTGTGAGTCCATGTTTGTGTGAGTCCATGTTTGTGTGAGTCCATGTGTGTGTGAGTCCATGTTTGTGTGAGTCCATGTTTGTGTGAGTCCATGTTTGTGTGAGTCCATGTTTGTGTGAGTCCATGTGTGTGTGAGTTCATGTTTGTGTGAGTTCATGTTTGTGTGAGTCCATGTTTGTGTGAGTCCATGTTTGTGTGAGTCCATGTTTGTGTGAGTTCATGTATGTGTGAGTTCATGTATACGTGCGTGTGCTGCAGTTGTGTGGGGTTAATCAGAGGGATGTATTTGGTGGTAGAGGGCGGCAGCAGACAGAGAGTTGCTTGTGTTGGTTTATTGTTGACATTACGTTATTGTAAATGTTTTAGTAATATTAAAATAGTTTATGAAGGGTTTCCAGGTTTCTGTGAGGGTCTGTAATTCTCCATCATGATGAGCAGCAGAGAGTGAAGATGAAATGTGCTGAGAGAGAGAGTTAGTCCAGTGGTTGGTATTTATGGAGTTTTTAGATAGCCAGTTTTGTAGGATTGTTTTCTTGGCGATAGTCAGAGATGTCAGTAGGCTTTCTGGCAGAAGTCGAGAATAAACTTAATGTTACCAACTGCTCTTTAAACCAAAGTAATTTCCTAGATGTGTTCCAAAGTTGATTAGTCTTCCAGATCAAACTTACATTAAATATTCATGAGAAAGTGTGATAATGCCTTACAATTTTAATTAGAAGAGTGGAAATTAGCGCAAATTACATTACAATAATTAATAACATGTTTTAAAAATGATGCATAATTTCGAGTAAATGTGATATTGAAAGATGTATTGAGAATAACAAGGAAATTGGTAATGTAATGGTCTTCAATCATGTTGGAGGTATGTGAACGCGCGCTGAAATGTGGTGACTAGGAGCGCCATCTCCTGGAGGACGTTTGTAACTGCAGGACTTTATCATTCAGGGGCAGTTGTTCATTAAAACATGATGTGGACCAAATAAGATAAACCTTGTGCTATCATGCCCAGACCAGTAAGTAATTACTAAGTCATTTTAATGTATATAGCACCTTTCAAATGCTGAGAATTAATTTGTAAAAACCAGATGTCTCCGTTTAGTAAATTCCTTGACAGACACTCTTCAAAATATGTAGTTATTGGTCCTAAAACTTAAAATGTTTGCGTAAAAAGGGGTGAAACTATATTCTTATTGCACAAAAAATATTTGGCTTTTCAAAAAACTTTTTGGTAAAGAGCCTGTTGTAAGCCTCGGAAATACGTGGCTTGATTGAATTTTAAGTCAATATTTTTTATGGCACTTTTCTGTTTTTGCAAAATAACTCTAACTTCAAATGTTGATAGAATGTTTCCTTTCACTCCGCAAAATAGTAGCAAAAGTAATTCTAGTACTAATGATATTTGTGATACTGATTTTGTAATAATGTTAAATCAAGGGTTTAATAGTACATTTTGAACAACACACATATAAAAAGTAATCATAATAATAAGAAATCTAAGCCCTAAGTTTACAATTTAAAAAGGTTTGGTTTTATGTTGCCATTTTTAGGACACGCACACACACATGCCAGGCTCATTCTGGGCAAAGGGGGTGAAGTGTCTTGCCTAGGGACACAACAACAGTTTGACACTTTACAGCAGCCCCGCTGTAGCAGCTGGTGTTCCCAGAGGTCTCCCATAACAGCACAAACCAGACTCTTTCCTGCTTAGCATCAGACATCTGTCAAGATCGGGCTTTCACATACAGGTGACGCCTCAGACTGCCTTTATCACTGTTTCCTAAAGTGAGGTCTGGGGCTCCACATTTGTACACAAAACAATATAAGATTTAAAGCATCTTATTGTAATTATCTGACTATTACTTTTTACCACTTAAATTGTGTATGTTTATGTATTTTTGGGTAAAATCAAAAGGAAAACAATTAGTTATTTTTCAGTATTAAGTGCAATGTGATAAAAACTATAAATCATTATAAGGACAAAATGTATTTGAGCAGGACAGATAAAAACATCAGATTACAGCCAAAAGTCTCTCCATTATGTTACTGTATCGGAAACTATATAGATGAACATTGCTAACACCCTATGAGTTCAAAGGTTATTTCCCGGGAAAAACTCTAGATTGTCTTAGCAACCATCTTAGCAACACGTCTGCCCCTGCTACAGAGCAAAGCTAACCCTGTCAGAACAAATGCCCATGTAAGGATATAGGCTCCAGCAAACTAATATTCAAATCAGCTTCTTCCAAAGTTGGCAAACACTATGGAGACGTAAGCCCTCGGTCAGTCCAGTCCTAACACACGGTCTACGAGCTGCACCCTCTCCCTGGAACACATTACAAAAGCGAATTCGTCCAATCTTGTCATAACACGAGTTGATGAATGGTGCATCTGTCTCCTCAAACCAATCATGAGGATCGATGAGTGGCCTGTCGATGATCAGCTCCCACTATCAGCAGCAGGACACATGCTTCTCTGATGGCTTATTGATGCACTGTGCACGTTCGCAATCCTCGAGGCAAATACATACAACTTATTATGGCTGCAGGTGCACAGGGCGACTATACATGGACATTATGCTTTTTGCTTTTTAACTGCTGGGAATGTAATGTGTGTTAACTGAATGCAGATCTTATCATGTTTGAGGGATGGAAGATTAAAATACACGACCCAGGCTTGACTAGTACCAAAAACCAACATCTGAGTGTAGTGTTGAGCTTGTACCACAAATGTTTACAGGAATAGGAGGAGACATGGTGGATATTTGTTGTTATTTTGGTAGTTGGTATTTTTTAATTTCAGTTTTCTTGTGAATATTTTGAGTTTTACTTCTGTTTTGTTGATTGTCTGCCGCGCCCTAACCTGTGTCTCCCCGATAAATGCCCTGTGCTCTTTCTTTGTGTTGTGTTGTCTGTTCCAGTCTTCGATCCATGTCCTTTAGTAGTTTTTTTTTGCTTTTATTAAGTTACATATTATTTACGGTCCTGTACTGAGTCTTTTTCTTTCATTATAAATTGTGTCACATCATTGTAAAATATAAAACGTTAAAAAAATTCTAACACTGTCCTTACACACTCTGTCCCATTCCAAATTAATGGAGATATAGATATAAAACCAACCATGTTTTCTTTAAAGAGAGTCTCACTACAGTATAATACTTAGTTTTAGGAAAGGTTCAACAAACAGTAGTTTTTGTTCAATCAACTATAGAGTAAATGGTTTTTTTTGTGATAAAGAGAACAAAGTTTTGGAATTTAAAAGCCTAAGCAAAAGTCCAAAGTAGTGCAAATGCATTTTGTTCTAAAAACCTACCATGTGTCACTTTCGTTTCCCGGTGACTTCTCTCTCTTTTGCCTGGTGTTTTCATGGTTTCTGACAGCCGTGAAAATAACTGCACATAATCCTCGCCTCACAGGGATTCTTGATCAAGCCGGACCCAGCGGGGCGTCCTGTCACCACACGGAGCCTATAGAATCCTCTTCATGCTGTGAGCTCAGAGGTGGGCCGCACTCTCCCTCCACCCCTTTGAGGAGGATGTTTGACTAAATATTTCCAATAGTGCCATATTCTATAATATCATAAAATCTGTTGAACATACTATTTGGTACATTAATCAATAAGAGAAAAAAAAAATACTAATTTACACTTAAATAAGTACACATACGCTTTCAGACTAAACATGAATTTTCAAAAGACACTTATATAAAAGCATTATTTGTTCTCTTCATGGACAAAATGTGTAACTGCAGAACTCTGCTATAAATTATATGAATTTGGCAAACTATGGCGGCAAATTCCTGCTGTAGCTGCAGCTGTGCCTTCCGCCTCACCAACCAAACTCTCAAGCACACGCTTTTAGACCTGATATTATCCCCTTTGAAGCTTAAATTGCAGGATCACAAACAACAAAATATTTAGTAAGAGGAGTAAGACTGTAGACAACCTGGATTGTAAAACTGTTTTGGCTGGATTTGGGCTGTTTTGAGCTTTAGCAATATCTATGACAGAGCTGAAGTTGGCTGAATGACAAATGTAAATGACAAATCTCTCTAGCTAGCACCATTATTGAAAATCACACAATCTAAAACAAATGTATTCAAGAGGTCCTGAGCTGTACAATGAGGTACGGCAGAGTTGTACTGGAGGATATAAAGTTGGCTGGATGACACTGCAAACTGGTGATTAGAATCTCAGAAGACTTCTTTGTGTTGGCAGAGGCCACAAAGGCCAATTGCAGCCCTCCTGTGTTCATCTTCCCTGACCCCACTCCTGCCCCCGTTCTGGGGCGAGGACGCCAGTAGATTCTGTAATCTAGAATGCAGTGTAAACGCATAGATATGTGAAGGATTAACTGTACCCCTTTAAATGTAGGCCACTGTTGCCACATTTCATGAATATTTTATGAATTTTCAAAAGGACAAGTTGTACCTCACACAATCCAGTGGTCTATATTCAGTGTGGTCTATTTTTCATTTTACTGTGGCACATTGAGCCCATGCCATACAGTAGAAAGTAGGGTATATAATAAACTTTACAGTCTATGGTCAGCACAGGGATGTTTGTTGTTTACAGCTCGCCCTGTCCTCCCCAGCTCCTCCACACGGGGGCGCTCGGGCTCCCTCTGAAGCCGCTGTCTGTAGAACGAGGTGCGGCAGAAAACAGGGGCACCATCGCAGGCTAACACCACCTCTGCGATTGGCGGGTTTCATTTGGGCCCTTTCAGCGGCAATACCTCTTTTTCTAGCTGTTTATTTTTTAATCCAATGACACAATAGACATCAAGCAAAGGCAATAACCAACACTGCGGGGATTCGGAACAGGGTCTCACATCTGCATTCATCCCAAACAGGCTAACGCTAGCAGCTAATGCTAACGTAGCCTAGCTTTCATCAGTGTGTTAACGCCAAAAACCTTTTTCATTTTTGACTGAATATTTTTTTATAATATATCTGAAATGGCAGATGTCGATAAGCTCAACATAGACAGTATCATCCAGCGCCTTTTAGAAGGTAAGGTTATTTAGTGTCATATAATGGGCGAAACCATGCCAGACCTCGTTATACTGTAACTATCACAACACGTGTTATGCTAAAACTATATTTGTAATGACACGACTATGTTCATAATCTCAGTGACGTTCTTTAAATACATGTTATGGATCAATGTAAAGCAGGTGCAAAGGTAGGCGTGTTAATGCGCATCATCTGTTTACATTCTGCCTCCAGAAAACTGTTGCATTAAAGTAATTACCAACATAAATGTCTACATAAAGAGACCTACATTTCAAACCACAACAAAGTAACTATGTAATAAAGTTACTCGCTCTCAAACCAGCTTGGTTCTATCTCTAGCTTCCGCATGTGTTGTTTGTTCTGTCACATCTTTAGATCTGCTTTTTCAGAAGTAAAACCACCTCTTCAAATAGTGAGCCACAGGGCTCGCTTACAAATTGGCAAAATTACATAAATTTCTAAAAAGATAAGTACAGCCTGTTTCTTTGTGTAATTTATGAAGAAAATAGTTGAATACTCCAGCTTTAAGGGTAATTGCAAAAAATAATGACTGATTGTGTGTTTGATATGTTTTCAAGCTAAATTAGGTTTGTTTCCATTATATCTTTAGTGTTGTAAGTTAAACAATTTTGGTGGGGGGAATTCACTTGTTTGTTTTACTTCTATAATGTCATGGGGAAGACCGACTGAGGTAAGGGTGATAATCTCTGCCAATGCCCCTCTGACCACTTACATTCACTCTAGGGCTGAAACAACTAATCGATTAATCGACGACTAATCGATTATTGAAATAGTCGACAACTATTTTAGTAATCGATTAATCGTTTTCTGGTTCACAGGGACTCAAACAGAGCAAAAATGACATGAAAATGTAGTATTTTTGATTAAAACCGACTTTGTTTTTTTAATTTCATGAATATCTGTCTGTCTCATCCAATCAGAGCAGAATTAGCACAAAGAGCCTGTTACAAACATTTACTTTAAGTTTACGCCATCAATACGTCCTCGAGTGTTGCCACTTTAGCTTTTTGTGATGAAAAAATATTTTTTTTCTACACAATTCACAGCCAAGCGATTACTCGATTAATCGTAAAAATAATCGATAGATTAATTGATTACAAAATAATCGTTAGTTGCAGCTCTAATTCACTCACACACCAAACTCACAGTACTCATGTTGGAGAAGCGTCTTGCCCACGGGCACTAAAGTTTGGCGTTCTGTAACCGCCCCATTCTGGCTCTGGTGTTCCTAGAAGTTTCCCATCTCAGTACGCTTCTGAGATCTGATGTGACCGGACTTTCACATGCTGGTGTGTTTGTGATCGCAGTGCGAGGGGCCAAACCAGGGAAGAACGTGCAGCTTCAGGAGAGCGAGATCCGTGGTTTGTGTCTGAAGTCCAGGGAGATCTTCCTCAGTCAGCCCATCCTGCTGGAGCTGGAGGCCCCTCTCAAGATCTGCGGTAAGTCCAGCCTCTTTAAAGCTCCTTTCAATAGTCCAGAGTGAGTGGACTTCTCATTGTTTTGGGAGTCACAATATTAGAAATTATAATCATAAAAGGATAAAACTCTATAACCCCACTGGGTTTTAGAGTTTTTCCTTGCCGATGCAGGAGGGTCTGTTGGACATTTAGTGTCTAAAAGAAGGACTGTGATGATGATCCAGGACACTCTAACGTTCTTCAACATGTGTGGACATTTAGCAACATTCATGGACATTGCTCTCTCTCTATGGACCAATGCATATGTGTCTTAACTGTTGATTTTCTGATCTGTGTTGGTGATTTCAATGGTTTTAAGTCCTCTGAGATGACTGTTGTTGTGATTTAGGGCTATACAAAAATAAATTGTATTGTATTGTGGGGGCGACAGTGGCTCAGTTGGTAGAGCACTGGCCTTTGGGCCTGAAGGTTGTGGGTTCCTCCCACCACGAGACTTCTACTTCATGACTCCCACTGATGTCTGCTGCCGTTGTGTCCTTGGGCAAGACACTCAACCCCACTTTGCCTGAAGCCCCCACTGAAAGATCTCAGCTCCTGTGGACTCACCACCTGCAGGAGGATCAGTGAGGGGCTGGTGCTCTGTGGACTGGGTGCAGCTCTGACTGCCACCCCCCCGACCCAGAAATGGATTAAGGGGGAGGAAATGGATGGATGGATGTATTAAAACTTTATATAAACAAGGATTGCTATGATGAGGATGCTCCTTCTGAGCATCATGCTTTGTAGTGTTTTTCTTGTCATTGAAATTGAAATTACCAGAAATTGTATATAATATATTATAATATTGCTCTTAGTTCCTACAAGATTGTTTTCTATCACTTACTTTTGGTAGTCTACTTTGTTGATACGATGTCAAGTGTTTTTTTAACGTCTTGAATTTGACACCAGTTAAGTTTATTAATGGCCAGTTATTGTAGATTAACTAGCCATGTAACCCTCGTTCTCAGTCATTTTGGAACATTTTTCTATTATCATTCATATTCTCTGAAAAATGGCCATGAATGCATAAATTCTGCCATGGTATGTTCAACCTGCTCTTTGGTCACATTTTCTCACAAACAATAGAATGAAATACCTATTTTTATTATAATTAACAGTTTGTCCATTAAGAAAATTCTTCTGAGACTGCAGTGCATACATTACACTAAAATGCAAAATGTTTATGAGTGTAAAATAAGGAAACTGATGTTTTCATGTTGCAACAGAATGGAAAAGGCAATAGACTGCATCCTCTTGACTGGTCTTATTTAGGTCAGTGGGTCTGAGAGGAGCTCTCCTTCCAAGAAACTGAAAGACCCTCATCAAAGGGAAACTGAGAGATATTGTGACGTTAGATCTGTCTTCTTTTTCAATGTTTTTTAGAAGTTGTAAGCCTTTGCTTTGTTTTTTATCATGTATATTTTATTGTGACGACAAAAGCAAGGAAGGCAGCCGTTAAATAATGAGATTTTCATGTTGTCATGGAGAGCTGCTCCATTAAGTATGGATAGTTGTGATTATTTGTATTGCGTAATGAAATCACAATCATGTAAAACAGAATCAGTGCCAAGAGCATGAACTGATGGAATGAAAGTAGGAGATTAATCTTAAATTAGATTAGATTTTTTCTCTTGATGGAGAATGGTGTTTTGGAACAGGCACAAAGACACTTGACAATATCAGACATTGGGCAGTTCATCCGTTTCACATTCATAGAAGTCAAAACAGAAGCCGTCACCTTTCAAGAAAGACTATACAATATACTTCTATTCACAAATTCACTTTTTACTCCAGTGAGCAAGTCAATGAAGCTTTATGAGCTGTGAATGCATTTATTCTATTCTTTACTATTATCTGGTATGAATATCTAAGTGGGTCAGAGGTAGAACCATTCTTCTTCCCAGTTATAAAATAAATACATAAAGACTATAATTGCACTTGTGAAAATGTATTCAAGTATCAGGTCGACTAATTGAACGATGCACTGGGCAGGACTTTGGTCAATCATAAATGTATTTTGGATTTTACTAGATTTTTATGGGGGCGACAGTAGCTCAGTTGGTAGAGCATTGGCCTTAAGGCCAGAAGGTCGTGGGTTCATTTCCCACCTCTGCACCTTCTCCATCAACTCCCACTGATGATTGCTGTTGTTGTGTCCTTGGGCAAGACACTTAACCCCACTTTGCCCAAAGCCCCCACTGAAAGATCAAGGCTATGCTCACACTCAGAGCAGCCGTCCTCCTGTGGACTCACCACCTGCAGAGGGTCAGTGAGGGGCTGATGCTATGAGACTTGGGTGGCATCTCTGATTGCCACCCCCCTGACCCAGAAATGGACTAAAGGGTAGAAAATGGATGGATGGATGGATAGATTTTTATGATTGTATTTTGAATGCCCTTGTGTGTTCCAGGAGACATCCACGGCCAGTACTATGACCTCCTGAGGCTGTTTGAATACGGTGGCTTTCCTCCTGAGAGTAACTACCTGTTCCTGGGCGACTACGTGGACCGAGGGAAGCAGTCCCTGGAGACCATCTGTCTGCTGCTCGCCTACAAGATCAAGTACCCTGAGAACTTCTTCCTGCTGCGCGGGAATCATGAGTGCGCCTCCATCAACAGAATATATGGCTTTTATGATGAGTGTAAGTAGGCGTGGGCGGTCAGTACATACATGAACTGGGAGTCTGCCCATAACTTTATTTAGTCCAGTAGAAATGTGCTGGAATTCTTTTTAAATGTAAAGGTAAAGGTGGCCTTTAGTAATCCCCGTAGGGAAATTCATCCTCTGCATTTGACCCATCCTGATGCCACTAAGGCTTACGTCAGGAGCCGTGGTCGCCGTAGTAACAGCGCCCGGGAACCCATCTCCAGATGTTGATGCTCGGCTTGGTCAGGACCAGAGCTAGACGGTTTTACATAGTGTGCATGTTTTGAGTTTTACTTTATTGAAGTGAGCAATATTGTTTTATATGTTCACCAAAAATAATAACCTTTTTGCTGCTTTATAAAATATGAACCGTTCACCAAATTCGATATCAAGAGCAATATCGGTGAATATTCACATTATTTACTTATTTTTCAAATATTGGCCCCCACTTAGATGATCATTTCAATGTGACCAAGGGGCCTCCTACGGAGGAAGACCCTGACACAGGTATCCATGAGGCATCCCAAACAGATGCCAGAGCCACCTCCACTGCCTCCTCTCATCATGAAAGAGCAGCGGCTCTAATGTGACCCCTCCTGACATTTGCAGAAAATGCAGACTTTGCTTAATATCGAGCGTCTTCAAACCTGTCAAACTACTCTTTTCCCTGTTTGTACCAAGTCACAATAGATTTGTAATGAATTGCTAACTGCAATAACTAATAATAGTTATGATATTAAATAACATCACCTTTGGTAATAAAGGTTGAAACAAAATACAGAATTAAGCAAGTGTTAGTACAAAAAATAGACAAGACAACTTTAAAGTCATAATGGAAATGTTGATATCTTGACAACTTACATTTTTAGGTTTCTTATTTGGCAATATTTCAGTCTTTATGCTGGCAGAGGAAGCACCTGCAAGAAATTGTTTTGCAATCAGTCTGAGTCTGAGCCAGGATTTAAACTGAAGAAACAAACAGTGCGAGCTCAGGTCACACTCCTCTGGGGCCTCCAGCGTCGCTCTCAAACTCATGTCATGTGAACTATTGTTGTGAATATTTTTTGCGTCTGGCTCCTTTTGTTTTCCCCTAACCCTTTTTAATCTGAGCTTCTTCGATGTGTTATACCATTCGCTCTAAGTCAGGGGCCATGGTAACCGTGGTAACCATAATAACCTTATGATCAATGCTGCATGTTAATAGTAAGATTGTCATGTCCACCAGTGACACACACAAGTGTTTTACATGTGCTGCATTTTTGACACACCCTCTAAAAGAAATGTTGTGTCTGGGAAAGTGCAAGACCGCGTCAGCAGTGTGCCTGTTTTTGTTTTTCTGTTGACGTGAGAATTCATGTGATCCAGTGCAAGTTTGCACTTGTCATCTGACGTAAAACAAACAGACGAGAAAAGGCAAGAGCAAATAGCGGCTCATTTAAATTCTTATTCCTTATCCCCAGGCTGTAATAAAGACTAAGGAAAGTTAACATGGATATTCTGGTCTGTTTGCCTTTCATTTGTTGTTATCTCAAAGTAAATTGGTCTCATCTCTGGTTTCAGGTAAAAGAAGATATAACATCAAACTCTGGAAGACCTTCACAGATTGTTTTAACTGCCTCCCAATCGCTGCGATTGTGGATGAGAAGATTTTCTGCTGCCATGGAGGTGGGTGCTGCTACCAAGGAAATATCTTATCCATTTTTTATTCTATTATACAGGGTTCCTACTGAGTCTTTAAAAGTCTTAAATCCATTGGAATTTATGAATTTTAAAGTAATACCTTAAAAACACTTTGAAGAAGTCTTGTATTGTAATATCTGGGTATTCACATTTGTGTTGTGTGCAACTTCTGCTGGTAGGTCCCTGAAATTGGCCGTGGTGGTTATTATTTTATTAATGGCCTTTAAAAATATTTTTACAAAGACTTGAGAACCTGTTGGAACCCTTTTTATAACAGCGTCTTACATATATAATATAATAAAATATGATTGTTTTACAGTAACTACATAAACTGCAAACGATGATAAAATATGAGGTAATAAAAGCTTAAATCAAGTGGTTTTTATCTTAATTTGAGGACATTTTGACTGTCTTAAAACCAGATTTACCAATGGGACAAAGCTATTTTTTTTTCTCATTCTAAGGGAGACATTATTTGTATCTTTTTAAAACAAGATAATTTTAGCTTGTCCCATTGGCAAATCTTGTTTTAACGCAGTCAAATAGTGCTCAAATTGAGATACACTTTGCCAAATTTGAGAATTTTTTTGCTTATTTTTCATAACTTGTTGCTGTGTAGTTGACGAAGCACAAAGTTTAGCCTCCTGCTCAGACCCACAGACCAAACCAAGTGTCCTGACCCACTGCTTGTTTAGGGGAGGTGCCGACTGAAGGATTATGTGCAGTTTCATGCCGTACTCTGATGTGTCTGGGCTTTTGTTCAAGAGTCTCAGGAAGAACTACACCCATATTTTTTTTGCATGCGAGAATTCTGTTTGTCCTGCTCACTAATATGTAATCTGGCGCAGCCTTGTGGTCAAGGTTAAACATTGCAGCCCACACACAAATACACAAGTGATAATATTCATGAACATTAGTCCTTGGGTCTAACGGTTCTGGGTTCAGTCCCCCCAAGTCAAGAGACCGACTCCATCACTCCCCTGTAGCCCCTGCTGAAAAACAAAGGCTGTGACGGAGCACCACCTGACCCGGAAATGGACTAAGGGAATGGAGAGGAGATGATAGGAGGCTAAAAAAGTAATAGGTTTTAAGTGCATTACAAACTAGATTTCTTAATTGATTCTGTGTCGTTTATATTTAAATGTTGCCCTTTTATTATAACATTACAACATAGATCTGCCACCTATTGCCTGGCCCCTTTGAGTCACTTCTCTGGCAGATGGTAAAAACACATTTATTGAGCAACAACATTTTCAACATAAAAATTTCAAGTGCTAAAAATTAATCTGCAGCATTACTCCATAGACGAAATGAGCTGAGCTGTTTTTCTCACGAGCAGCTGCTGATGTCCTGATGTCCTTTTGCAGGTCTGTCCCCCGACCTTCAGTCCATGGAGCAGATCCGCCGCATCATGCGTCCCACTGACGTCCCGGACCAGGGGCTGCTGTGCGACCTGCTCTGGTCTGACCCGGATAAAGACGTCCTGGGCTGGGGAGAGAACGACCGGGGCGTCTCCTTCACTTTTGGCTCCGAGGTCGTGGCCAAGTTCCTGCACAAACACGACCTGGATCTGATTTGCCGCGCCCACCAGGTACCTAAATTAAAGAATCCAGCTTGTATCATTAATCCATTTTGTTTGTTCCAATGAAAAGACTCTTGTTTAAGTGACATTTTCAGATGTTAGAAAACGTTTTGTCTTTTCTATACTGAGAGCTGATTTTCTGAGTGAGCATGGAGGCCAAAACTAGATGCATGTTAAAACTAGTGCTACAACCATTACAGCGTTGGTACTCCAGCTCTAAGTATTAGGGCTGGGCGATAACTCGATGTGAATTATTAAGTCAAATTTGACGTTTAGGGCGATTTTGTTTGAGTGAAAATCTATTTTTTTTCCAGTGCAGAGTTACAGTGCTAACACGCTAACCGCAGGTGTTGAGCAGTCATTTTGAAGCTAACCTAATGCTAACAGTCTCCCTCTGTCCTGACGCTCGCGCTCACAGTTGGTGCTGTTGCAATAACACTTCAAACGTTCAAGAAACAGTCTTTATTTAATCGCCAGAACACACACACACGCGCACGCACAAACACACGCAGGTTCCAGTCGTCTTTCATTGTCATTCATTAATTTCTCAGTGCTCACGCTTGTTACTCCAAAGTGTGCTCCCGTGTCCGCAGCGCGCACACACACGTGTCCCACTGAGCTGCTGCACATTGCTCTCATTGCTCTGATACAAAGAACGTGTTCATTAGGTTCAGCATAGATCCATGCGTGTTCCCCGCTCTGTTAGCTACAGTAGCAGAATGTGAACAGGAAACTTAACTCTTGACAATGAGCTAGTCACTGAAGTTAGTATTAGCGCCACCAGCTGGACCGAGCGTTGTACTACAGCACAGTTACTCTGACAGGGTTGAAAGAACAAGCATGAAAACCCGAGGAGGAGGCTTTGGTAAAAGACTTTCTCTGTTATAACATTTGTATTTAGAGTAATCATTAGTTTTAAAAATGTGATATTTCATGTAAATAATGCATGTGTTTAATACGATTTGATATATTTGCTATGGCCCTTGTTTGTGCGTTTGAAGTCACTTTGAAGGTGCATTGTGTCACTGTAAGTGAAGTTATTAGAAAACTGTTAAGGTGCGTTTTCACTGTTTACAATGGCAGGGCCATCTCGTTTACAAGCATGTTACACTTCTGCTCCATGGGGATTTAGATTAAACTGCATAAAGGAAAATATATTTCTTTGTCAATTGTAGTTTGTTTTTAAATAGAAACAAAATAATCGATTTAAAATTAAAAATCGGTTTTGGTGTGAAGAAATCCAAGATTTTTTTTTAAACCTAGTAAGAATATAATAGTTAATTCAGCTCATGAATTATGATTGATCTGTTTTGAGTCAAATAGTTAAATGGGTAATGTATTTTTTTTATATAAAACTGGAATTATTTATCTGTCTTCAAGCTGCTTTTCTTCAGCTTTATCTGCTTTACATTGACGGCTAATCTCATATTTATGACTAAAAAGGGATTTAGCTTGTTGTGAAGTGTATAATAGAGGGCAGTGTCTGTTGTATGCCTGTTTTGGGATCTCTGTCTGCAAAGTTTGGGAACCCCTGACCTAAACAACCAATTGATTGAGAAAAGACGGTAATAATTGTTTGCTCGGCCCTATATAATATATGAAATACCAAGAGCAAATAGCTCTCCTGCAGAAAGCCACAGTTTGAAGGCCGCTGCAGTTGGAGGAGGTGATAACAAAGCATCAGAGGTTAAAACTTAACATAATTTAGCAGTAATTATATACTTACTGGTGTTTTCCTGTTGTTCTCTGCGACCTCCCCTAACATCGTGTCTGTTGCTCTGGTTCCATCAACACGAGACTTGGTTTGTGTGGTCTCTGTGGCAGACTGTCTGCTGTCAGGGCTCAGTGCAGCGAGTCGCAGCCACTGTGGTGCTAACTGCCACAGTCGAGTTGTTAATGAGGAAGCCATTTCTCCCACACCAATAATGTGGCACTTCTGCACTTACTCAGAGAAACGCAAGATCCAAGTAATAACATCTCTAGTTTTAGCATTCCAAGGAAGGAAATCTAAAGTCTACAACTTAAGCTTAATGAAGCAGCAAGAATTAAGAATAATATCAGTTTTTAGCATAACAGATTACAAACATGGATTGATTGATTTCATGTATTCGAGCAGAATCCATACATTCAGTAATATTTACATTAGTTTACGTGACCTTTTGTACATGTTGCCTACTGCACTTACAGTCTATACGTACACAAGCAAACATATAAACATAAATATACAATCATACAGCAGTATTTGCCTTAGTTTCAGCAAGTGTTGAATATTTACAACTTCAATGTGTATTGTCAAATGCATTTCTATTTAACACAACACTCCAATTGAAGCACTGTTTAAATGTATTCATTTTACTCAAGTCCATGATGCTTTTTGATGTAAAAAATCTGTTACTTGCTACCTGCTACTTCTTTTTGGTTAAAGATAAGATATTAGATAAGCACTCAGATTGCACACATGAAATAAGTCTATTATTTAAGATAATAGACTTTATAATTAAAATAAGAATAAAATAGAATGAAATAAACTCTTGGGTTATAATTGCACTTGGTTCAGAAGTATTTACAGATGTGTATATTGCACTTTAGCAGCGGAGAATATCAGAATATGAATATGAGCAGAATAAACATCAGAGATGATATCAACAGGTAAAGTGACTTGTGAAAAGCAGAAATATCAGATATGTAATAATGCAGTAATACTAATAACAGGTAAAGTGACTAGTGACAAAGTTACTAGTGAGTTATCAGTGACACTTGTGCAGACTCAGCAGTTCTTGTTACACATTCTTGTTGTACAGCCTGACAGCAGCAGGAAGGAAAGACCTGCGGAACCTCTCCTTCACACAGCGAGGAAAAACAAGGACGGTTTAATGTTGTGTAATAAACATAGGTCACATGAATCTCACTTTGTAGTTCATTAGTATTGTTTTTGTGGGAATCAATGTCCTAACCACTATTCTGCATCACCTGCATCTTGTCTTTTAGAATCAGTTTATTTGAGCTCATTTATTTTCCTACAGGTCGTTGAAGATGGATACGAGTTCTTTGCAAAGCGACAGCTGGTGACTTTGTTCTCGGCTCCAAACTACTGTGGAGAGTTTGACAACGCAGGTGCCATGATGAGTGTGGACGACACTCTGATGTGCTCTTTTCAGGTTAGTCACTCTGCAGATCAAATACTAAGTATGTTTTGTCCTGGGTTTGGAATAAAACCTTGAAACTCTTTTTATTTTTATTTTTTTATTTTTTTTTATGAATCAATTGTCGTGGAATGGAGGCAAAAGTTAGAACCTAATGCAATTTCAATGGGGTTTCTGGTACAGAAAATCACATAAAACAAAACTGGTCTGGTGAGAAAACGTAAACAAATACTAAGTATTTGTTCAACTAAAGAAACGCACATAATTTAAGGACATCACGAGTTTCACTGGACGTTTGTTAAATCACAAACATCCAAATATTTTTTCAAGAAGCTATGTTTTTAACTTGTTTTAAGGCAGGGTGACTACACTATAATCTCTGGGTGTAATGAAATCTTTTCTTACACGGTTCAAGTTTTTCAGGGTTTATTCCACAGGTTTCAACATCATGTATTTAGCTTTATATTGTTAATCTCTAAAGCCCTTTACAAACAAACATGCACATGGGCTTCAGCTGATTACAATGTGTTATAGAGTGTAGACTGAGACCTCAAACCAATTATCTTTGTTGTTAAAGTGTGATGCAAGACCTTCATCACCTGCATTTCACAAGTGGAAGATACCAATGTGAGCAGCATTCCATGACAATTTTTCAAGTAGGAGGTGCCTTGAAAGCAGGTTTTTGAAATACCTCATAAAAACAGTCTCTGTGAAAGCTGTAGGTGCGCTCTCAGCTGTACACAGGCTCAAACACCAGAGGGTGCAGTACTGAGGTTCCACCACAACTGATTCTGGCATCACGATCTATGGCTCCACCACATGCTTAGTTTTTTCTTTATTTCTTTTTTAAGGCTAGTCTTCAGCAGGGACTGTGCATCTCATTTCACTTTGAGAGGATCGTCGCCGCGCTGTTGTCATCAAATGTAAAGCAGAGTTGCAGACATTGTGTGTCACAGTACAGTTCTCAGTTCTCAATACAGTGGCCCCTCACTAAATCACATTCACCTTTTGCGGTCTCGTTGTTTTTCAGATTTGTTGTGGTCAATTTTGTGTTTTTTTACAGCATACTTCTAGTGGACTGTGTATATACATCAACATCATATACAACCTCCATTAAATCGCCAGTATAACATGACAATTACCTTTTATTTACTGTCTGATGAATACGTTTGTGGCTTGTGTGATAAGTTTGGCGGACTACCACGGTCTTCCTGTAGCCCTCAGTCCTGCTCCTGCCCCTCAGCATAGTGTCCTTTGCAGCTGTATGTTACAGTGTATACATGGCTTTTGACAGCTGCAGCAGCGCTCAGACCTACCACGAACAGGTGTGATATCTCCGCCATCACACTTCAGTGGTCGTGAGTGCAGGTGGTTAGAAAAGTGTCTAAAGTGTGTGGTGAGGGATTTTACTGCCATAAAACATGGCTGCTACGTTGCGGATTTTGCCCACACATTAAACGTGTATTCTAAAACCTGTGAAAAACTTTTTTTCCTGTCTAGATTTTGAAACCAGCCGAAAAGAAGAAGCCAAACGGCAGCCGCCCGGTGACTCCTCCTCGCAACATGGTCACAAAACAGGCCAAAAAATGAGTGCAAGTAGGCACTGGGGTCCTGCTCTGCACTCCTGCTTTTGTCTTCTGCATTTGAAGGGTCCTGCATCCTTCGTGCTGCCAATACTGAAAAGATTTCCACTCAGACTACAATGAGAGCAAATGTTTAGTTGTTTTGTTCACAGGGGTAAATTGATATGTCACCATGAAAACCTCAGGTGTTTTGCACTCCATTTGCAGCTAGACTCCGCCACATATGACTGTTTGATCAGGAAAAATCTAACATATGGCTACTCTTAACGCACAGGAATGCCTTGTTTAAAGCTGTGCACAATGTCTCCAGCTGATTTGATAATTAATTTCTTCCCCACACCTGTCAGTAATTATTGATGGGTCTTTTAAAACAATGGGAAAGTCACAACCTGTTTAAGGCTTTTTGTTTACAGTTTGTGTCGGCACATCAGCACTCCACTGCATCACATTTTTAAACACATCCTGTGCTATATTAAACTAATAAAAGGCACTCTTCTATTGTTGAAACCTTTCTAATAAAAACAAATGTATTTTAAGGGGAAACTTGTATTTGAAATTCATTTTGTTTGATGTGTTATGCTTTTAAATCTGCAATAAGTCCAATAAATGATGTTCTAACAAATCATTGTGCTTTGACTCCTTCAACTACACAAATGCCAAAACCCAAGAGCACCAGAAGGATCTACATACTTTGTATTTATTTGAATAATTTGCCTCACATGTCTGTAGCTCATTCCCTGTATCCCTTCTGTCTCATACCGGCTTTCAAATGGAATTGTTGTTTTATGGGACATTTTTATAACAATAGTATTAATAATTAGCAACACATGCCAAGCCCAACAAAATTTTTTTAGATTGCCTTACATGTTATTGATTTGTAAATAGGATTTCAGAAGGACATGATTCCTTGCCAATGCAGGAGGCTCTACGCCCATTCATAAACATATGGCTCCTACGTGTTTGTTATTGTATTTCCTGTGTTTAAAGGACTTTAGTCTTCTTTAATCTTCCAAAAGGCCTGCTGTTGTGATTTAGGGCTATATGAATTCAATTGGAACTGTAATTTTTTTAGGGTTCAAATCATAGTGATACATGGATCAAGCCACAGTCAGTGATGTGTACAGGGAGAATTTTAGGAAAATTGTAAATCTTTTTTTCGTCCCCCATGACTACATCATAGACTGTCTCATCAAAACTCCTTTCTTCTCCTGCCTTGACCTTAACTGTAGCTCTGAGCTCTAAAGTCTGTGTTATGTTATATGTTTTAATGCCACTTAGGTGTGTGTCACAAATAGATCCATGCACAAACTAATTTAAATGACCAAGAACCTAGTGAAAGGAAGGATAAGATGAAGGACCATAGACTGTAGGAAGGACGTATGGTTTTTTCCGATTTCCGGTGCAAAATGTTTTGCTTTAGTCAAATTTACATGCACTTGGAATAGCAACCAAAATCAAAACACAAAGTAAGTTTTAAAATTACTGTACGTAAAAAAAAACATACTTTAATGTGAAAACTACCGGAAAACCTTTTGAGCAACACGTTGAGCTCTTATTTTGAAAAGGTTTTCTTGCGTAACGCGTCCTGACGTCACAACAGTCACAAGACACATTTCGCGTGTGACGCTCGTGCCTGTCTTCCTGCACCGGGGCTGCCTCTCAGTCCGTCCGCTCTCTTCTGCGTCTGTAGTGGGATTAAAACCGAACACCATGGCTCAGAGGCACCACCACCGACTCCTGAGGATATTCTGCACCGGTTGAGGCGAGCATTTTGTGGGGGAACTTCCAACCAGCACCCGTGGGACTGCTGTCTTTCTCTCCACCGCTAGCTCCCTGCTTTGTTACCCCGAGGAGCCGCGTCCAGTCCAGTCCAGTGCAGCCGGAGGAAGGCGCTCGCTTGGCCGCCGTGGGAGCTGCGTTGAGCGGGGTATTTCTTGTGGGTGATGTTGTCGGTGCTTTCTTACGGTCGACTCGTTGCCAGAGCGGTCATCGGCGGGCTTTCTCAGACGGACAGCCGAGACTACAGCCTGGTGACTGCGAGCTGTGGCTTTGGCAAGGACTTTCGTAAAGGCATCCTGAAAAAAGGCATGTGCTATGGGGACGATGCGTGCTTCGTGGCCCGACATAGGACGGCTGATGTTTTGGGTGAGTACTTTTATTCATACCAGCATTAGGTCGTAAGCTTTGCCAGTGTGTAATTGTTTATTTTATGCATTTGTGTATTTTGTGTTGTTACATCACCAATGAACAATGGACAATGCTAACTCTTTACAACTCCCCTGTTGTAAGAACATACATATACATTTAATACTAGTAATAATGCTTTTTAAATGTCTTTTTACGTGAACGATAGCCAGCCATTGCAATAGTTTATTTCCCCTTTGACAATTATCAACATATTTGCTATGGGGATCTATTATAATCTAGTGACTGAGTTTATCTTTAATATACAGATATACTGTTTACATACTGGTCTTGTTCTGCGCATTGCAACACAGACATGTCTTGATAACGCTGATTTATCAAGACATCATACAGGAATAGTCACCGGGATAGTCCTGCTTGTGAGCCCTGTTTTTCCTACTCACAACCATTGTCTCAGTTGTCTCCCTTTCTGACTAATTTATTGCCAACAGCATTTTTAGGATCACCCCCAACCTGACCTCCCAGGGCAAATCCGGCCACCCCCAAGCGTGAAGGAGGCTGTTTGTGTGTATTTGTAGTGTCCGATCGCTTCTATTTTATTGTTTGCTGATCTCCCCCTTTCAGATGGATGTGGCCATGCACGTGTTTTCTCTTTGAACAAATAAATATTGCATGAACATTAACATTGGCACTGAGCCTTTGACGTAAACGGGAAGTCAAAGGGCACTCCGGCGGGTCCTTTTGTACTCTGATAAAAACCCGATTGGATTTTTCAGGGGAAAACACATGCGTACACCACAGTAGACTGAACTGAAATACACGTGTTTGGTAAGAGTCTAGATTCAAGGGTCAGACCAAAGTGGACTGCATGGCTTTTGTTATGTCTCCTATTGGGCCTGTGAAGCTCAAAAGGACTTCTGTCTTTTAAAGTAGACCACTCTGTATGTAAAGGTTGCATTCATTTAAGGTGGTATGGACCATTTTTTACCAAGAATGTAGTTGTTTGAATCACTATAAATACAATCACTTTATGAACTTGTAGCAGTCTTGCACATAGTCATATAGAAACGTAAACAATATGTAAAATTGTCCACAACAGAAATTGAACAACCACTGTGGTATCTAACTTTGTTGTTTATTTAAAAAGCCCTGTGAGTCACTATTTGATGTATTGTACAAAAAACTGATGAGTGAAGGAGGTTTTCTTTCTCACTTTTCTGTCTGAAGAAGCTAAAGATGTGACAATAGCTAGAAAATACGTGGATAGTTTTGAGAGCAAGGAACTAGTTACATGGATTTTATTTCATACTACTTAATTGGAGTTTTTGAAAGTTACCCGTCCTAGCTTTTAGGTGACTGTTGTTGGAATACCACCAAAAGACCTACAGTGTCCATCTGAAAGACATTCTGCATTCTCAGTGCGGCTATTCTAGTTAATAATTGTCAATAAGCAAATGCTTCAAAGCTGATCATTGAAACTGTCCCAAAAACTAAACTCCATATAAAATAATGGCCTTGCTGTTGTTATAGGTGTGAAGGCAGTTTCCTTGGTGTTTACATGTTGTTTATCCAGAGAAAACGGAATGATTTAATTTATAGATGAAATTATTGCACATATTTGCGACATCAACATTGCACTTGCCATTATCCCAGTAACACTGCGATAGCTCCAGTTTAAACTGTCATCAATCAAATCAAGTATGATATGTACATGTGTTTGTTTTCTGGGAACACATCAAAGATATAGATGTAATTTAAATAAGAATATATACTATCTCTTTACGCATTAAACAACCATTTTTCTTGCTTAGATGTTCCTGTCGCTGTTGTTTTAGGTGTGAATGCAGTTTCCTTGGTGCTGTTTACATGTTGTGGCCTCTGAGTGATTTGCTGCGGCGCTGTTAGCCTTGTATGGTCACTGCTTTGTGCCGACTGTTTCCTTTCTAGGAAGAATTTCAAGCTGCCTTTATCAGTGACCACAGACTAAATAATTACCAACACGACTTCTTATGCCTGCCTGTGGGTAATCGGAGCAAACACTACTACTTTCATTACAGATTAGAGCTGCAAGGTTATTCAGAATCAAACTCTGTTCCTAGAAACAATCACACAATGCTCTAAAATCATAAATGTTCACTAAAAAGAGTGAAGAGAAAACCCTTCAGTTGTGTGCACAGTTAACAAAACCGTTTTCAGTTCTGGATTTGAGTAGTGTCACGTTTTCAGCAAGACCCATTTTAACTGCATAGCCTCCACATTTTTATAGCCCCAACTCTGGGCACCAGCAGGAGGCCAGTCCCTGTGCTCCTCAATCCAAGTTGGTTCACATGGCTCTAACATGTCTAGTTGAAATTATGTTTTTATTATATGTATATTATAGTATTCCCGCATATATGTTTCAGGTGTTGCGGACGGCGTGGGCGGCTGGCGAGACTACGGCGTGGACCCCTCGCAGTTCTCAGGGACACTGATGAAGACGTGTGAACGGCTGGTGAAGGAGGGCCGCTTTGTGCCCAGTAACCCAGTGGGAGTCCTCACCACCGGCTACTACGAGCTGCTGCAGAACAAGGCGCCGCTGCTGGGTGAGTCGAGCTCTGATTGTGTGGTCATTGTGTGCGTTTCAAGGGATTTTATATTTGCATAAGTGAATAATTCTGTTCACGTGTCTAAAAAAAAAAACATCTATGGGTTAGTGTTAGGGGTGTATGTTCAAATAAAATATTATCATTATTTTTCAACCTGTCTTTAAAAAATGGCTTCGTTACCATAGAGTTGTATTGGCACCCCATTATGTCAATGTAAACATCTTTACAAAGTGCAGACATAGCAGCAGATCACAGCAGCGACTAGCGAGGTGCAGATTCTTTTTCATTTACACAAACAGATTGTTGAAGCGATGCCTTCTTGGATTCAGTAAAACAAATGAATGAAACCGTCTCGAATCACTGTTCAAGCAACTTTCAGTGGTTTATGGAAAACTAAACCCTTATTCTGGCTAAATGCTCTTAAAAGCTAAGTCCCCTATAAATTGGATTGTGTGGAGCCCAGTGTAATTACAGCCAGTTCATTCTGTGTGCGATAAACAAAGGCCTTGCTGTGGCAGAGACAATAATAAACTGGATCAGCGGGTGACACAGGAGCAGCTGGAGGTCCAGGCCTAAAGGTCCAAACAAGAACTCAACCATATCTAGATCTGTCTCATTTCAACATTTTTTATAATGAATCCAGTTACACCAGTCATCCACACCTACAGCCTTTTCTACGTTAAGATTATGGCTGCACGATGTTAGAAATGAGTGCACTGTTCCATAGTGGTGTCATGGAGTAACAATAAATACAACTTTTTTGTTTCTGGGATTGAGCAGTTTATCCAGAGAAAACGGCATGATTTAATTTATAGATGAAATAGATGAAAACTACAGGTGTAAATTAGCACTGCTGCTACAACCTGCTACAATGCATCTCTCCTCTTAACTAATGTTTGTTGTACACTGTCCCTGTAAAAATAAAAATCATCTCATGTTTGCCGGCTTTTCATGATCCAAAAAACAACACATTATCAAAGTAATAGTTAATTATAGCCTTAGTCGACCTCTATCCCCGAGTGCACTTGATCCTCACTTGACTCACTCCTTTTACTACCTCCTTATCTTAATATTGATATCACCGACCAACTAATGATTACCCAAAAACCTATTGTGTTGTGTAAGCTGAACAGCACTTTCTACAGCACAGACAGGGTTCGTTTTTAACAACTCATACGGCCCGTATGAGTTGTTAAAAACGAACCCTGTCTGTTTTGAATTCTTATGTTGTTGATTTCAGCTTGTTAGCGGTTTAGCTCAACAGGGATTTTTACATCGTGAGTCACCGAGCAGCCAGTTTCCATTAAAAGACAAACCAAGGAATAACCCAGCTCCCGGCCCGCCTAACCTAACTCCTTTTATACCCCCACACTCTGCCCTTTTCCTGTGTGGCATCCTGATCACAAAGCCTGCCCCATCATGTCCAATTCAGCGGGGACGTCTTCGCTGTAGTTTTCCACCGCTCAACAACACTCCATTGTGCCGGCCTCTCCTCCTCGGCTCGCTCTGTTCCCGTGCGTAATTGTTGATCTGGAGAGAGAACGGAGAGGAGTGAGTCATCCAGGCTCAAGGTCTCTCCCTCTTGAGCATATTTGGGTTTTTGAATCAGGTTTGCACTGGCTGGGCGTGGTCCTGTGTCAGAAGCTGCTACAGACAGAGCTCATATTTCCTCTCTGTTATGCCGTTCTAATGGGAAGCCAGACCTGGTCCCGATCACTGCAGGAAAGAGGAGCTGAGTGGTTATGCAAAGAAGAAACTAGTATTGATCATGATATTAAACTGAAAAGGGTTTGACATAAGCATAAATGTTTCACTATAAATATACCGTAAGGAAAAGGCATATTTTTTTACTGTAGTAGAAAAAGTACTGTTTGAAATGTTGTAGTAAGCCCAAAAGGCAACTTTATTTGTATAGTAGTAAGTTTATTAATTACTTCACACAGTTCATACACAAGGCAACTCCAAGTGCTGCAAAAAACAAGGCAATGTCATAAATAATCACAGTACATTAACATAATTGAAGATGGCATCTTTCAGTTTATGCACAGCTAAACAAAACTCTTTTAACCTGGATTAGACCTGGAGAGACTTGCACACAAGCAGAGATGAGCCACAGGAAGCCAGTGCAGAGAGATGGACTAATGTGATCGTGTTCCTGGTTCAAGTCAGGACACGGCCTGCAGCGCTCTGAACATACTACAGCTTTAAAGCACAATTATTTGCATGCATACTAACTATAAGGATGAGCGGATTAACGGAAAACATAAGTGTTTTTCCATCTTGGCCCAAATCCTAAAATGTCCAGCTTGAGTCCATCTGTCCAAGGAAAGTAGATCTGGCACATTTTCCACCCTCTTTCATGATGGGCTTGTAAGTGCCACAGCGCTACATTTCTCACATTAGTTAAAATCTGCTGCAGTTTTATCCCATTCATCCACTTGGACTTTTCTTCAGTTTGTGCTGTGTTTTGTACAAATAAAACAAAAATCCATATTTATTTATACAGTATTAAGCGGCTTGTGTTCACGCTTTTAGAATCGTTATTTAGGCTAATCTTGAGTTAACTCTAAAAAAACGAGTTTGAGGATGGAAACGTGTTGTAGAATTCCTTTTGTTTACCCTGAGCTTTAGCCTGCAGTGTGCTATGTTTTTAGGTCATTTAGAGCTGTTCTGTAGGGCAGTGGTTCCTAACCTTTTTCCCCGTGTACCCCTCGCCGGCGTAGACGGGACAGGAGGGACCGCCTGTTTATTGAAGGAAAAGTGTTGCATGTACCCAGAGATGAAGCTCATTCTGGTCTGGGGCCACAACTGTTTTTAGGCTTTACTGTTATACCAAGGTCTCCATCTATTTATATAGGAACATTTTGCTTATAACTCATCTTTTGCATTTGATCAGTTCCTTTTAATTTAATGTTGTCATGTTATATAGGTATTTTGAACAAATTATTATTTAATTTAACTTCAGTTTGTTTCTTTTCTGAACTAAAAGAGTATGCTTGGACTGGCTTTACATTGTTAAAGTTGAAATGATCCCGGTGTGTGTTTAAACCCGTAGGCAGCAGCACGGCCTGCATCGTGGTGCTGGACCGACAGAGCCACACTCTGCACACGGCGAACCTGGGGGACTCTGGGTTCTTGGTGGTGCGAGAGGGGGAGGTGGTCCATCGCTCGGACGAACAGCAGCACTACTTCAATACTCCCTTCCAGCTGTCCATCGTCCCGCCCGGATCCGAGGGCGCGGTGCTCAGTGACAGGTAACCGCACACTCACCCACGGCTCTGTTCTTCTCCACCGTCAAGCTGTGCAGCTGTCGGGTCGCATCGTGGCGGTCAGGGCTCTTCCAGGGCAGTGGCCAAACAAAGCATTGGGTTTCTCTTAATTAAAGTTACCATCGACAATTCATTGCTACTATCGTTTTTTTTAAACAATTTAAGTAGTCATTTTAACCTTACATAGACTTAAAATGCTGGGGACAGATTCTATGATTGCAGAAGTAATGTATTATAAAGTATTTTGAATCAAACAACCCAACATGTCACAAGTAATATCTATGAAGATTACTTTGCTTATGACCAAATATTCATGTAAATATGAATGATGTGACGCACGTCTGATGAGGAACGAGTGAAGGTTTAAGTCCATGCAACTAGTTTCTGTTTTACTGAAACAAACTCTGTGGTTTGTGATGTCTCCCAAAGCACCACTGTTTTATTGAATGCATTTTCATGTTCCCCTGACTGTATATTTACTGTATCCACACTTGTGTTATATAAAGCTTATACAGGCCTGACCCCTCTGTGAGCTCCACTGCGTCTGTCTCTGGGCGTTAGTTCCTCCACTGCGTCTGTGAATGCTTCGTCTGTAACAGGACCATGAACGCATCACAAACGTCACGACTGGAGCGCAGAATGGGAGCTGGATCTGTGCCACACACCAGCACGCACACACCAGCTCACACACACACACACACCAGCGCACACACACACACACCAGCACACACACACACACACCAGCACACACACACACACACCACCACACACACATACACCAAGACACACACCAGCGCACACACACGCCTCCCGCCTCTGCACCGGGTTGATGTCTGGTCTCCTGGGGCGAGCAGAGGAGCCCAGAGGGGTCTTTGAAGTGTCCACTGTAGAAAGAGAAAACAGGAAATATTTATTGGACAAATATAGACATGGTATTTTTCCGTAGTAATTCAGTGCTTGTTTGTTTGAATATTTTTCACCTTAGTCCCACTTTTTTCAGCCATACCATATCATTTTCCCCAATTCATGTCTATTCTTTGGAACTTAATTTGAACCTAAACCTGCTAAATGTCTTTATCTCTTGAATGAGATGAGAACACAGGTTTTCATGTTGTAAAGTAACACTCAAAGCCCGGAGCCGACTGTTTTCACTGGAAACAACCTTTATTTTGACAATAACATTCACACTAAAACTCAATGTCCAAATGCATCACTCTACATTTCACAAAAAGACACACCGAAAGAGGAAGGTGTGCCACGTAATCAGCTCTGGAGATCGACAGCTGATACTGCTGTGGGCAATGTGTTTGATTGTAGCACTTTTCATATTGTCACAGTTACAAAGTCCCATCTCATTTCGCACAAGACTCGTATATGGTTTAATAGATTGTTGGATAAATCTGCACATTTCTGAAGATTAAAGTGGCGTCAGGTTCAGAGGAAGTTGTTGCTTTGTCCTTGTTGTGTTGTTTTTTAATTTGTCCAAAATCTTGTGGTGTTGACCTGCTCTGCACAGACTAGGAGCACACCGTGTCCCTGAGGAGAGGATTTATGGAATGAAAATAGTCATTAAAACTATCTTTGAACGGGGGCAGCAGGAGGGCATCTTCTCAGAACTGACACTGATATGAACAGAGCTTTGGTTTCTGGAGTAAAAGTATTTGAGCGTATCTTTGACACCTGAGCATGGACTAAGGCCCATTTCATAATGACTGTATTCTATTGTATTAATGACTGTATTCTATTGTATTAATGACTGTATTCTATTGTATTACTGGTGATAGTGGTGACTTTAAAGATCTGATTTAGACATAATTATAAAAAATATATATAAATAATAGTTTATCTCATTATTCAATTACAAAAACTCTTAAGCCTGGTTCACACGAGACGATTTTAAAATTGTCGGCCGATTTTTCTCCGTGTTAGACCCCACACGGGGAGATTAAAAATCCTGTGTCTAACCACTTTGGTCGTGCAGTGTGTGGTGCGTAGCCACACGGCAAGATCACGCAAGCCACAAACATCACACACGAACCGACACGCCCCCCGAGCATTCCCAGGTCAGACGGAAATCTCACAAAATCTCTCGAGATCAAGCGTGACTTCAGAGTAAACAGTCATGGCGGACGAAGAGGATGCAGTGGCGATAGTGTGCAGTTTGTTGTTAACAGAGAAGACGCGTAATCCAAAGAAAAGGCAATGGTCAAAGCCATGCTGCTGTGTTTTGGTTTTTTTCCGGTGTTTCCTCACCGGCTTGTCACCTCGTCTTCTTATTGGCTACACGCCGTAGTCATGGCAACGCGCTCGCTTATCCTCGGAGGACACCACACACGACAAGAAATCGGGCCAAAACAATCCAACATGTTGGATATCCCCGATTTGAGATCGGGAGCAGTCCCGATGTCCTTCCGAGCGACGAGTGCAGTCTTAACACACCACACACGGCAGGATAATCTGTAAGATTTTGTTACGGAAATCGGAGCGTTTCTTAAGATTGTCGTAAGGGGTAAATCGGGTCTAAATCGGCCTAAATATCCTGCCGTGTGAACCAGGCTTTAGATTACAGTTTAATTCAATCAATAACTTGTTTTAAATATTCCTTAAAATCTTTTCTGACTCACAGAAAATTCTCCTAAAACATGTTATTAATATGCATTTATGGTCATTTTGTGGAATGATAAAACAAGTATATACTTTGTTAATAAACCATAGATTACTCTGTTCTTCATTTTCTTAATCCGACGCGCCCAGACTTCCCTCTCCACACACACATACTCACACGCTCCTCCACCTCACCTGGAGGAATCCTGAGGCGCTCCCAGGCGAGTTGAGAGACACAGTCCTCTGCCTTGTCCTGGATCTTCTGAAATGACTAAAATAATTGATGGCCGCTCTCTTGTTTTGGTGAGTTTTAGAACTTGCTCTTACTGTCGTTTCTCTTGTGTCACAAACTGCCACTTCACTTCAATTACAAATATTTGTCAAGGGTTTCGCCCCACCAGGCCAAGCGAGGAGTGAAAAACCCAGCGCCATATGCCTTTAATTGTAATCTGACAATGTGGCGACTGCGCTTGGCTATCAGCGCTTTAATCCCTAATCCCAATAATGAGTGAAGCTTTGACACTTGGTATTACAGACCCATCGCACCAAGCAACATATTGGTTTATACAGTAGTTCAAACAGATTTACAAAACATGTCTAATAATATAAATACTATGTTTGTATTTAGAGTCGACCACCAATTATAAAACTGTTTTTTTGAGGGGTTAAACTTATTTTTCTTAAACTGTGTGTTGCAACATTTAGCAGTGCACATTTTACACATACCTCTTTTTAAAATCACTTCAAAATCTTGCCTTGTCTCGCTCTCATGGACCCATTCTGTCGCCTCTGGAAGTTCCCTCGGGGTCCCACCTTTTTATACAATCCTGAAATGAGCCGTGGTCTTCGTGTGTCCACAGCCCGGACGCCGCCGACAGCTCCTCGTTCGACGTTCAGCTCGGTGACATCATCCTCACGGCGACAGATGGACTTTTTGACAACATGCCCGACTACATGATCCTGCAGGAGCTCAAGAAAATCAAGGTGAGATTCTGCACACGCTGATCAGGGTGGCCTCATTTCACACGAGAGGAGAGTACGACTTCCACAACCTCCACATGGACTTCATTGAGAATGTTGGTGTTTGAAATATGTGTTTTCTGCTCCTAGAACTCGAACTATGAGAGTATCCAGCAGACGGCTCGGAGCATCGCGGAGCAGGCTCACGATCTGGCCTACGATCCAAACTACATGTCGCCCTTCGCTCAGTTTGCCTGTGACAACGGCCTGAATGTACGAGGTAAGAGTAACGCGTGTCGTCAGTCTCATTCACTTGCACTAGACTCGAGTGTTCAACAGATTTATCTACACATGTATAAAGTAAGTATCTGACGTATAGAGTTGTGCTGTACTTAATATTCACCCATCTTGTGCTGTGTGCTCCTTGTTCCGACTGTTCTGTAACTTGTGATGCAACACTGAAATTTCTCTTCATCTCTTTTTTCCCTTTATCTATATCACTTTATGACAATGCAATGAATACAAGTTTTCATAACAGACTGTAGGCCCATAGGAACTTGTTTGCCTGTTATTTTAAAACTTGAAACTGGGGTACATAATTTTTTCCCCATAAATACATACCAGCATTTTAATAAGATGAAGACAAGATTCCTTCTGAATGAGACCAACAATGTTATCTGTTGCATACTTGTGAGAAAGAACCCTGTGCACCACTCTTTCACGTGTTGGGCTTAGAACTGATTGGCTGAGTGAGGGTGGTCCTCTGATCTACAGATGTGACAGAGGCCAAAATACATGCATATGAAAACTATTGGTAGAATCAATTGTTTAGTGGTTGGAAAGTTTAGCTTTAATGTTTCTGCCATACTATAAAGTGAAAGTGTTTTTGTAATTTGATGGGATTCATACGATGGTAGTTTTCCAAAATGTCTGATACCAAAAGGTAAAAACTGTGATTGTTTGTGGCATAATTAAATCATTCTAAAAACAACTTAAGAGTGTCTAGGCTCTTAACAACAATTCTAACATTAAACGTCACCTCATTTACTTATTTAACGTAGCATTTTCCATCCACAGGAGGAAAGCCGGATGACATCACTGTGCTGCTGTCCATCGTGGCCGAATACACAGACTAGTCTCTTTAAAAATGGACAAAGTGGCGTCTGAACTCCTGCTGGACGGGAACTAGGACTTCCCCCCCCCCTCCTCTCCTGGCCTCACGGACCACTGCTCCTGTCCCGCTTGAATATTGTCACCATGAATTTGGAGTTTCTTTCTTGTATAATGAAACCCAGACTAAGCACTTTTGGGCAGAAAGCAAGTGGAAGAGTTGACGACGGAGCTCGGTGGTGGTTCGGATTCAAAATGGCCGCCCACAGAGCTTTCCAAGAAGGGAATGTGGCGCGTTAAGACGAAGGAAACGGAAGTTCATAGTTGGCAGTGATATGCCGACAAATGGCATGGGAGGGCCCCGTATAAGAAAACGCCTTTATGGAATACTAAATGAAGGCATTAAGTTTGGCCAAACAATATTTAAAAAACGGCTGAAAGAGAGTTAACGTATCTTTTTGTCTAAGGAACTTGTGGAAAAGTATTAAAACAAAGCTATCTTATTGTTAGGGATAATTATGCAAAACAAAATAGTTCCTTAGATTTTAAAAGTGCATTGCGCAACTCGCTACCCGCTTGTTGCCATGGAGATGTTATTTCTTTGCGTGGAATGGACTACCTCAGTGTGATACCATGACATATTTAAAGAGTGTTTTTACTGCTCAAAAATCTGACTTGTAAATTAGCCAAGCAAAGTCAGCGTCTATCTTTTCAATGTTTAAGGAAATGCCGTGGCTACAGTGGAACATTCCAGGCAAAACAACAACATTTAGATGGACCTGAGCAAAAGTTTCCAGTTTTGGTTGAATGGAACAGTACAGACTTTGATAATGATAATAATAAAAATAATAATGAGGATGATTTCAATAGAAGAAATGACAGCGATGAACAAAAGGCCCCTCTTGATTTCTTTAGTATTTTTCTAACCTCTATTCAAATCAATGCAAAACCAGTGTGTGTTTGTCACGCCAGTTCATGTGAGGTTTTGAGTGCAAGCAAGCCTCCCATATTGGCCTAAAAATATCCCTTTAGTCCCCCACCACTGCTGCTGGGACACAGAATAAAGCTGGCGGCTGTGGCCACGTAGTAATAATGAAGTCTGGTGAAGCACTGGGCCGAAATCTTTCCCACGCACAAACCAACATATCTGTGAAAGTTTGGGTGAGTGTGTTTTTTTGTATGCGTTTGTATGCGGTAGACATGTGGGACTATTATAATTGTGTGATAGATTAAGTAGGGATAGAATGGTGTTCTGTCTGTTTGAGGATTCATCTGTGTATGTTTTGCTTTTTGAAACGACCTGATAAAAAGAACGTACCAATACAACTGTTTGGGCTATGTGTGATAGTTTAAGAATTTATTAGGATTATGATAAATATACAATGTCATAAAAGGTTTAATATTGCTCGTCGATAATGTTCAGTGACCGTTTGGCCGCTGGAAAAAGCACTGACAAATAATGTGTTAGATGGAAGTAGATCAAAGTCATTCTCGTAACACGTTCTCAGAAATGATAAGTTTGATGGCTTGGCATGAATTCGTTTTCCTCTCCATAACTTCATTTTGCTAAATTTCAAAATAAGGTTTGGTCATTAAAAGGGCTTGCGATAGATTCCCACACATGTAAATATTTGAGATTGTACATTTCATAACAGTGAGGACAATCTACTCAGCCTTAACTTCAAGCAATTGTGATGATTTTTTTTATTTCCTCTGGTTCCACACTAGTTTTTTTTTTCTGATGTCCTGACTTTATGAGCAGAGTATGTGAGTATATTTTGGATGTTCTAGTAATGTGTTCAGAAGAAAAAAACATTTTGAATTGTACAGGTGCAGTACAATATTTAATAAAAAGAATATTTATTATCTGGTTGAGTCTGTGCACTCTTTTAAATGTATTGTGGACGCAAAATACTTCTTCAGATTGTGTTTTATGCACGTTTAACCCTAGAGCAGTGCTTACAGAATGCAGAATGGTGAGAATCCCTGACAGAATAGTCAGAGTGGAGTTTGCATGTTCTCCCCATGTTTGCATAGGTTTCTCCTTTCACTCAAAACATGTACAATAAGTAAAATCCTCCAGCTCTGGTCCTGACCGAAAGAAGTATAGTTATCTGGAGATGGGTCCGCAGACACTGTATTAGAGACCACTGCTCCAGACAGAGGCCCTGGTGGTGAAATGCAGAATTACACCAAGTATAATTTCACTATAACAAGCAAATGAGAATGGTATGACATTTTCAAATATTTGATATGAATCACTACATCAACAAATCAAATCCTTTGTATGTTTCAGGTTTTTTAAGTGTAAAAGGAAAAACATTGCTGGTGGGGGGGGCCTTGAGAGGTCGGTGAGGGGGGGGGGGGGTAGTGGAGCGGGGCTCCAGGAACAGCTGTGCTTGAGGATCAGATTTAAGTATTGAACATGCTTCAGAAGACAAAGATATCAATTTACGGGTTGACATGTTCTCACCCAAAGATAACGACGGAAAGGACAAGCTCACCTCTCACCTACTCACGGATACAAGCTGTTGAGATGGAGATGGGGCGAGGAGCTCTGAGTAAAGCTGCTGCTCCTCCAAAGTCAAGATTGTGAAAGCGCTCATAAGACTAAACCAGAAAATGTACTGTCATTCCACAACTTATCTATTCCTGTATTTTGGAGTAAGTTTGCAAATGTATAACATTACTTTTTACGGGTCTAATAAAAATCAGGATGTTGAATTAAGTTGCTATATATGTAAAGTTTTGAAAAATTCATGAGGTAAATGTAAAACGCTTGCGTTTTCTCCCCAGTGTGTGCGTCTGCATTTTGGTCATGGCAACCGTTGCTATGGAGCTTTTGCTGGCTCTTGGTTCAAAAAGAAATGCCTTTCCGCAAACATGTTTTTGTTTTGAGAGCATAGAGGATTGAAATGTGTTTTTTAATATGTAGTACAGTGTTTTGACCATGGTATAAGTGTATGAAACAGATCGCAGTGGGGCCTGTATGGTTCAAACACACTGTGGAGAAACCGCAATTAAACCTCTTCCTCCTCTTCACACGGATAAAACGCTGGCGAGTTCATATTGGCCTGAGTTTGTCATGTTGTTGAAGCGCTACATTTTTCAGATATTTGAGTTATCTGAGGTAAACGGGCGTGGCTTTTCACAGGTGAGATCATGTCTTTGAGCAGAGACCACAACACGAGCACAGAAGAGAACATCAAAGAGACGTGTGCAGTTACAGCGATGAGAGAAACGTGGGTCACAACAGGAACGGGACAAACTACAAAAGTAAACAGGGATATCTGTTCCACTGGGACCTGTTTGCTTTATTACAAGTCCTAAATCTATTTTTCAGTCACTTTTGCCTCTTCTTTGAAACGGGAATTGTCACAAACTAACAGCCATTCTACAGATACCCTTCTTTATATATTTATTATATATTTATAAAGTAAGTAAGTAAGTAGTAAGTTTTTATTTATATACCGCCTTTTCACTGCAGATCTGAGTCTCAAAGCGGTTTACAATTGTTAATTTTGGGCATTTGTCTCTCACTCCACACAGAGATGGGAGCGGGGCCAGTACAGGAGGCACATGCCAGAACTATTGGACATATTTTTTAGTGGTAGGGGAAACCGGAGTACCCGGAGGAAACCTACGCAGACACGGGGAGAACATGCAAACTCCACTCAGAAAGGCCCTGGTCCGACCGGGATTCGAACCCAGGACCTTCTTGCTGAGAGGCGAGAGTGCTATCCACTCAGCCACCGTGCCGCCCAAAGTTAGCCTCACAGCATGATTGCCGAAGCATTATTGGCCAAATTGTTATATTAAGATTAAAAATACCAATGCGCCGCATTGTTTAGTTGAAATAGTACTTATGATATATTCCTCTTATTGTATCATAGATGTTAGCAGACTTTGGAGTTTGGATTTTTCTCTGTGCAAGGATTGTTCCCACTTACAATTAGAAACATTGAGTCATCAGAGTAAACTACAGGTTCTCAGCTTCACAAAGAGCCGTCACTTGTTTGCGCCCCAAAGTGTCCTAAAACATATTCAGTTTGAATTGTTTTGAATTTTCCAGTCTTTTTGCAGTGTAAACTGTTTTTTAGACTGAGACATGCCATAATTATTTTTATGACACAACTATGAATGTATTTGCGTTGTGTTGAAATGAGGTGAAGCCCAGCGATAAAGCCAAATAACGCCCCTTTTGCCAAAAAATAATAAAAACGCAGATTGAAAACTGTTTTTATAACATTGTTAGTGATACATAACAATAAATACCAACATTTTAAAAATACAACAGCGTCTATAAGGTGATACAGTATTGTACATTTCTATCAATCTATGAGTTAACATTAAGTAATAACAAATAAATACGAACAATAAATACAGAAATATTCTCCCATGTTGATAAAAATAGAGTAGTTTACAGCGGTGGGCTCTGTGGCTCCTCCTCCATCACGTCCTCTTCATCACTGACACCGACCAGGACTTTAGGATCCAGAGCGGCGTCCTCGGCCTGAGACAGTGCTTTGAACAGCAGCGAGCACACCTACAAACGCCACACAATAGTTTAGTAAAGTTTGGAAAAGCACTGTGCTTGTGACGCGATCACAACTGGAAGTGAAGCCCACAAAGGTTACATTCAATCATTCTCCAAACAAGAGGAATTATCAAATGAGTTGGATGTCTTTCTGTTCTTGCATCCCAGTAAATGAAAATGGAGCGAAAACATGGAAAACTTTCAAAAAGAGAGAAATATATCATAATCTCTAGAGTAAAGTTATCCAATGCATACCACAGCATATCTCTATTGCACGGTACAAAACACATTCTTTTCTAGTTGACTACAGTCTATATCTGAGCCGAACTCACCTCAAATGCAAGGACACACGTCAAAACAGTGACGCATTAAGTCTAGACTCTGGGAACATTTCCAGTTTGAACAAATGAAAACAAAACAAAGACTTTGTACTTGGGTGTACGACCTGAAAAGCACGACTCCAGAGTGTGAACTAAAAATCTATGAGCTCCTCTAAATAAACCTCTCCTCACTTCTTTTAAAGATGCTATACCCGATTTATTTTCGAATTAGTTAAAAAAAAATGCGTTTTACTACATACAAGTTGTAATAAAATCCATAATTTAATTGAAAACTTGAGCTCATTGATTCAGCTGTGTATGAATTCAGGCCGTAAAAAGTTCTGAGTAGAGACTTAGCGTGACGCCCGCTCTCCTCCAATCACAGAACAGGCTGCGTCCTCTTGCCTCTGCAGTGCTGCTAAACACAGTAGCATGTTAGCAGAAAGTGGCTAGCTCCTCTGGCTCCTCTGGCTCCTCTGGCGGGTGAATATACATTGCGTTGGCGTAATGGTATCCTCTGGAGAGATCAGCGGGAGAGGGACTGCCTGGGACTCTCTGTGATCGGACATTTGGACGCAAAACTAGCGGTAATCTTTCAATTATATATTTCGTTAGCAGTGCGTTGCTTTTGTGATTGTTGTACAGCTTACAAGAAGTTGCGGTACTGCTACTGTTTGCATACGTATCAGATCGTAAATAAAGCTAGATTGAAGCCTGTGAGCGAGTTGGGGGCGGTGCTAAACATTCAAACTGAGAAAAACCTAGCAGAAACAGGTATAGCTCCTTTAAGTGTTAATGCATCGGTTTTATATAGCGCTTTTTTGGACACTCAAAGACGCTTCACATGTGTCATTATTCATTCACTCCATACACGGTGGTGATAAACTACTACTGTAGCCACAGCTGCCCTGGGGCACACTGACAGAAGCGAGGCAACCAGTATGCGCCATCGGCCCCTCCGACCACCACCAACCATTCATACACACACCAGACTCATTCTAGGCAATGGGGGTGAAGTGTCTTGCCTAAGGACACAACGGCAGTTTGGCACTTTACAGCCGCAGCCGCCCCACTGTGGCTGGTGTTCCCAGAGGTTAAGTGTCTTGCCAAGGACACAACGACAGTAGTCAGTGGGAGTCGATGGTGAAAGTCTTGAGCGGGGCTTGAACCCACGACCTTCTGGCTCAAAGGCCAACGCTCTACCAACTGAGCTACTGCCGCCCAGATTGTTAAATCTGCTTTCCTGTTTTGGATCTTAACTCACTGCTCATTCATTTGATCTACTGCTATGTCAGCACTTTGTAGTCTTGACACTAGGGTAAAGTCTAATTTAAACCTGAAACAATGTGCACATCTTTAAAAAAGAAGCCAGCGTTAATTATGTATGTTGTGTGATTATTTATCATGTATTTATTTATTTATTTATTAACTTCACACACAGATTGAGCTTGTTTCTTTAGAAAAATTGTTCTTCTCAAAATATACACTATAATCATGATCTATTATGTATATTTTGTGTTTTGTGTGCTCCTTGTGAGCTCTTCCTACTGTCCTGTGTACGTGCTGCACCACCAACATTATCCCACTCTGGGACAAATAAACATTCTCTTATCTTCTCTAGTCTTATCTACGTTTGTCAACTGACTATATTTACAAATCACTAGTTAAAACCGAATCCTCCACCTCCTCCAGTTTAATTAGAATAGATTGATAAACCTGTGCAAAACCAGGTGAATAACCATCCATTCCGAGGTGCTGGTGCGACTGAGCTACATGTAAACAAGTCCATCTGATCGGAATGAGACAGCAAGAAGTGATGCATTTAAGAGCTCAGGGAAAAGCTAACATTATATGAAAAATTTGTGTATTTGGACGGGTATAGGGTACCCACTCATTCCCATTATGTATGACGACAATTTCATTTAGAATTGCAGTTACATAGAGCATTAAGGCAAAGTTACATCTCTCTTTGGGGCACACGGAGACGGGACCAAAAACTCATCAGACCGGTTTGATAATCCCACCGCATTGAGTGTACGCCAACTTCTTCTCCTTATGATTTGTAAACACACTCATTGATTATCACTACTGTGGCAGAACATATCTCTTTAACTCATTTTGTTGAGAGAATTCACAAGTTTAGCAGTAACTTTGCATTGATCAAACCAAACAGCAATGTCCCAGCTTTTGTTACCAGTGAAGGAGCTGGAGAGGGAGCATGGGTCCGGATTGGGTCTCCCTGTCCACACGGGAGGTCTATCTGTGAGGGGTACAGGGAGAGGCGGGGAGCGAGGATGGGGCTGCCCTGACTCGAGGCCACTTGCTCCACTCCAGACCTGTCCTGAGGAGCCTCCACTTCACACCTAACACACACAGTCACATCAGGCCATTTTATTTTTGCATAGCCCAACTCACGACAACAGTTATTAGTCAAAAAAGATGAAAAAGTCGACCAATCTTCACAGGGATTAAGTGAATCTCTTTGTTCTCCTTACTTCCAAAGAAACACAATAGAACAGTAACATAATACAATATCATACGTACTGAATAGACAGTCTCATGTATCTAGATACGAAACTGAAAAATACCCGGCCCCAGTGCCACGTGTTAATAAATCTCAGTCACTCAATCAAGTTGAACTGGATTGGCAGCTTTTAATGTCACCATAAGCCAGGGGTTAAAGCAAAAAAAAAAGATTTGACTGAAAATTTTTGCATGGAAATTTATCACATGTAAATCACAGTAATATGCAGGACCAAGTTATATTTGTAATTACAATATATTATTGTATAATAGATTGTATATTGAATACAGCTCAAATGAATTCTTCAAAGATATACAGTGTATTTTGATATGAAATATAAGTGGATCAAGCAACGAGTAAACTTTTTGACAGAATATTAGTGAGAGTAGCTTTACTTGAGGCGATATGGAGCGTCAACACTTTGGCTCTGTCCTCGTCAAAATATTGCTAAAGGACGATAAAATTCTGTCCACATTTGTTTGTGGACACGTCAATATTGAAGAAAAAGGTTTCCCTATCAAGTTTGAGTGCACAGTGCACTTCGATCAACTGCAAATGATTTAAATAAATCTACCAGCGGTAGTGATATTCTGAACGTTATTTTCTGCGATAAAGCCACAGACACGGTCTGCCATAGCAAGCCTAGTGTCAGTTGTTGCTGATGCACCAGGTAAAGATGAAGTGTGGGAAAGTGCACAAACAGCTGCCTTGTGCGCAGTTTTGAGCTGGTGGCGAATCAAAACTTTTTTCTCATACATGCAATTTTTTATGGCAAAGTACGCACAAGCACCGGCCACTTTCATCTTTTCGCACCATGACTCGTTGATTGGCTCTTTTACATCACGCTGAGTTTTGCAAGAAGATCGCAAACAAGACAATATCAAAAGCTCACCAAGACATGTTTGTCCCCATTCCCAGTCGCAGCAAAGTCTGTTTTGTACATTCCGTTAAGTAAAATAGCATTGCGTTTGGTAAACGTTAATTACCTTTCCTCTATTACGCGCCCAGCTTACCAGTCCGCGGATCTGCTGCTGTTATTGCTCCGTTCGAGATTCAATTTTCCTCCTCTTCTCCTTTTCAAAAGCTCCGTGCAGTTTCCAGAAACTTTCACCTCCGTGTTACCAACGCTAACTTCATCGCGTCTTCATTTGCGCGTGAGCTCAGCTACGTCCCATTGCCTTGATTCATTTGCGGAGCGCTCATGTGGCCACGGCACGTTCAAGGCCCACTCGTGATTATATTACTTATTATTTCTATATACATATAAATACAATTATATTCAAATTATTATACATCGATATATATATATATATATATATATATATATATATATAACAGATTCACACGTATATGTATTACTATATATTATTTTTATAATCAATCATTTCATTGTGTGTATTATTATCATTATATATATATATTTTTTTTTCCAGACCAATTTCATTTGACGGAAATCCGTCACCTAGACGGAACTCTTTAATCCCTACCATAAGCCCCCAAAACTTAGCATAGATGTCAAATGTTTCAACCAGAAAAACCTCAGCAGGAAAGCATGGCTCACAAAATATTAATATTGTTTTTTTTTTTTACATTACTTGGAATATTAGTCCAACCCACAACTTTGAGTAAACAAATACACAATTCAAAATGACTACTGTGAATGACTGTATTCACCAATCTGAGTGAAATACATAAAGTCTTGCATCACATGACGACTTCAGTACGTTTATTTCATTAGAGTCGAATAATGTTATGGATGTGTTTGCCTCCAGTGTCTGTTTGAAAGACAGCAGTGGCATGAGCAATATTCACACTGGCTGCATGAAGTCAGGAATGTTGGGCGGCGAAGCAGAAAAACAACTTACCTCACAGGATAATTAGCTACCGATAATAAGCAGACTCAATAAGGATCTCAAACACTGTAATTATGGTTCAAATAATGACATATCTGACAATGACAGATGTCCAATCAAGCAGAGTGTTGAAATGATCGGCGAGAAGTTATTATGACGGGATTTCTAAGTGTGTGTTTGAGTGTGTTTACAAAGCATAAGAATACGGTGTACATCAGGTCTGAGGAGTTTTGGTCCCGTCTCCGTGCGCATCCCCCGCAAAAGAAGCCGCTTAAAGCTCTATGCCTTCGGACGCTTTCAAAGGCATTTTGTAACTTTCCCAAACGTTATTACTGTAATTCTAAATAACGTTGCCATAATCATCACTATAAGCATTTTTTAATTCCTGCAGCATAGGACTGTGTATTGATCCCGTACAAAATGAGTGAGTTGCCCGTATTTGTCCAAATGCTTACCTTTCTAAACAAGTTTTCACCTGTGCTCTTAAATGCATCACTGCCCGATGTCTCATTCCAATTTACTGTCCATTAGAATCAGGGCAAGCTTGTCACGTTCACGAGTGCTTTGTAAACGTACTCACTGTTGTTCTCAGAATGAAGACGATTTGACATGGGGTAGGTGACCAAATTGTTGGTTAATTTAGCCAAAAAAGTGGCTTAGGAAACATTAATTTAATACTTAACAGAGGGTTTTTGTTTTGGTTAAAAAAGTTGGTCAACATTTGTTTAAAGCTCATATATTTTGCATCTGTTGTTTTTTTCATGAATAGATTTTTACATTCTGATTAAAGGATTACTTGTATTTAACATGAGTTTGGGTAATCTTTTCTAGTATTTTTTTCTTAACAAAATGAGTTGGATGTGTGAGTAATGAGTTGGCCTGTTCCAAATGTGATTGATAGCACAATATTTTATTGAACTACTGCTAATTGAGTTGGGACAATGTTTACAAAAATATAAATGATATGGTTGTTTTCTGTTGATGAATAACACATCGTGGTAGCCCATTACCTCTTATGGGTTTAATAACAATTGCAATTCATTGTGGGGCACTAACAAAGTCCCTGGGCACTGCAGCTTTAGAGTATCCTTCACTGCTGCTGGGAAAACCTGTCAGGCGTAGGATTCATTCTCTAGAGTTTGAGCTCAGGATGTGGCCAGGAGCTGGAGGATTAGCCTATTGTGCATGTTTATTTTAGATCCGTTTTTATCTCAGCTGTGAGGAGAGGTTTGTGATAAGTGCAGAGTCAGCAGTGACGTTATTTCTGGCTGACATCATCCTGCGTGGACAGTCCTCGCACAGACGACGTAGGCATATTAGAGGATTATTCACATTGACTCTGGCGTGACCTGCTGTTATCCCCGCCGCAGACATAAGAGTGGATTCTGAAACGCCATGTCCACTTAAGCAGCTAAAACTGGCCAATGAGAGCCAACTATTTTGACTGCATGCCAGGACGGAGGTACAGGTAGTAAATCTCTGTGGGAACTAGACAGTGTAATTATATCTGACCAAGTACCAGGCTGCTGCTGCAAATGACCTATGTTCTAAAAGCTGGGCTTCCTGACTTTCAAACCGCTAAAAATCTAATATGTTTGATTTTTAGATAGTTAGTAAATCCATCTAACTTATCCCTCGCTCTTAAAACACTTTAGCTCTCTCACTAGTTTTTGCATTTTTTTGGCCTCTGTTACATGTTCAGCTTTTTTAGACAAAAAAATTAGTGTCTCACAGAGCTCTTTGCATAATAAAACATTTTACTTTTACGAGACTATATCAGTTGGAAGTTGGAACAGTACTCCAGCTTTAAGACATGTCAGATGGACTTGATCTATGGTGCATAGTATGAAAAAGGGTTCCATAATTACATTGACAAAATCTGGCGCGGGGGCTTTTCTGCATGGTGTTTGCATGTTCTCCCGTCGTCTGCAGTTTAGGATTAACCATTGACAAATAAGCCGCTGAACTTGCTGTGTTTGTACCTGGAGGTGGTGGTGTTAAGGGGCGTGGCCGTGTGCTGAGACGGGGCCCTGCTTTCAGTCTCCATCAGAGTCGCCAATACCACAGTCGCCTCCAGCACCATGTCCTCGATGGAGAAGCACACAGGCCTGAGACAGACCCCAGAAAGAGGATATCAACATTAGTTAATTCAAATAAAAAGATAATTGTGAATTACTTTATACTATTCATCCTGCTAAAGTTAGAGATTTTAAGACTTCTTTCCTTATTGTGCTAAAGATAGAGAATACACTTATGTATACCACTTCTTTTTATGCTAGAGTTATGTTTTAATTTAGTATTGTTCTTATTCATTTATCTTGTGCCGTGTGCTACGGATGTGCCAAAATATCAATATGTCAGAATATATTGTCTCATAATTGATTATTGATACAATTGTTGATATACTAATACACCCTTGCAACTCCATATGAGCTACCATGGCAAGTTATACCTCATTCTAAAGCTATTGTGAAAGTCAGAAGTTCGTTTTGACTAGTGGGGGCGGGTCCCGGCTCAAAAATGGCCAAAATGACGTGCGCTGACATGCTTGCAATACCAGCCCGGGCCGATGGGGGTGGACCCGGAGGAAGAATTAGCCAATGCTATATAGCAGTAGCTGACCTCTCGAAAACGTCTTTACAGGCTCTTGGCCTTGGTTCCACATGTGTGTCAATGCTGAGGGGAGTGAATTTTTTTGGACCAGTGGGGCTCGTGCCGGCTGACCCATGCGCAGATGCGTTTTTTCACTTTTTCCAGCCCCCGCGGCCATTTTGAATCACTCCATGAAAGCCCAATTTTCGGCCCATTAGTTAGAACGGCGGAGATAGGCACGGCTACCTCCGTTAATATATACAGTCTATGGTTTTGATCCTTTTATTTTTGACACAACAAAGGTCGAAACAACACGCCACCCTTTCCCACTGCTGACCTGGGGCGACACGGCATTTAAACACAACTGTATACAGCAGACAGAAGCATGTGGTCTTTCATTCACCACACGAAAGCTATTCAAATGGATCGCCAAGGAGTGTTTTTGTTATAGATTGTGAACTGGATCTAAGAGCTTAGCCAAAAATCTAAAATCCTAACCCCAAGACTTACTTCCCTGCTGCGCCAAAGTAAACAGACACGGGCAGACAATGAGACTCGGCGAACGTCAGTAATCCCTGAAACAGACCAACAACAAAAGTGTTACGCTTTGATTAATCTCTCACAAAAGGTTCTGTAAAGCTTTATTGACTCCTTCCTTTGATGCAGCTGTAACGAGGGACGCATTATACAGAATTAGGATTTTCAATTTGATTTTGAGGAAATATCTCTTTTCATCAAAACAAGAATTTCTCTTTTGACAGTGTTAAAAATCCAAATGGACAATTAATATTACTTCTAATTTCACTTTACAATCAATTATAAAGTTAAATTAGTTCTTATCTTGAAGATGTGAATATTTATTGTACACTATATAAGCATAAAACGTCTTTTTTTTTTGCTAATAAGAAAATGACGAGTATCTTGAATTGAATTGAAACAAAAGAAAGAGTGGACTAAGGGGTATATTCTTGCAGTCTGCAGCCTGGGAGTGGATCTCTCTTTGTTGCAACCTTTTTCCTGAGGTTTCTCACTTTTTTCTCACACTGGGTTATTTCCATGTTGACGAAGGAGATATTCCGGGACATTTATCCTTTTGCTCAAACACCTATGATCATTGGTTAATCTGTCTTTATGGACCAATGACTTTACAATCTGTTTGATTCTAATTTTATGTTTTCTGGGCTAATAACAATTCTGAGACCCTTCCAGAGGACAGTAAATACATTTTTATCAGGGAACACGATTATATCAGGGTTAAACAATAATGCTCTACCAACTCTATTCTATTTTACTAAACTTGCCTTGTCTGAAGTGTGAAAGTTTTAAACACACTGCAAACTGGGTCAGTATCAGTCAGAACTCAAAGTGGATGGATGTTCTTGTTTTTTTCATTTCATTAATGCTTCTATGGTAATATTCTGTCTCTTTCCAAGGGACTTTTTAACAGCATGTACTGTTCTTGTTGGCTGTAATGTAATAAATGTTATCTGCTGATTTGATTTAGCGAAAGCACATTTTGTCAAGCTGCACAATGGACATTAGCTGTTGGAATTTTACTCTTTCCCCTTCAAAGCAACTGAGAAAGAATTGAATTAAAAGTGACCTAAATTCATTACATTCTTGTTGCTAATCCATAGCTGGGCACAGGGCATGTTGCCCCTCTGCAGGAACATAAAGAGATTTAGTACATTAGATCAGATCATCATTTTGAAAAGATATATTGTCCACATTGCCTTTGTCTGAGTGTGGTGCTGAAGTTATTTGCAACCACAGAAGTGTATGACATTCAACATTAGGGGTGTGACGATAAATATTCGATATATCGCGATACTTTCTCCCGCGATTCAATTATTGATATGCATTTGCCAAGTCCATCCATCCATCCATTTTCTTCCCCTTAATCCATTTCTGGGTCGGGGGGTGGCAGTCAGAGCTGCACCCATACACAGAGCACCAGCCCCTCACTGATCCTCCTGCAGGTGGTGAGTCCACAGGAGCTGAGATTTTTCAGTGGGGGCTTCGGGCAAAGTGGGGTTAAGTATTGATATAATTTTTTTTTTTTTTGGTTACAAATTATTTTTTTAAATTGGTATCAATACTTAATATATGGCTACATTACGCATCTCCATTCCATTTATCATGAAATAAAGTGTATTTTTTCTTTTATTTATGCCATAAATTGGCATATTGTATATTTCTGACCAATATATCGATAATCGTCATATCGTAATAAAATCGTTATCGTGATAATATCGTTATTGTGATAATATCGTTATTGTGATATTGTTATCGTGAACTTTGTATCGTGTATTGCATCGTATCGTGAGGTACCCTTAGGTTCCCACCCCTATTCAACATTCAAACAGTTTAAAAAAATAATGTTTATAATCAATTCCAACAGGTTCTTCACTCTCAAAAACACAGTTGAACTTGCATGTTTTGTTGGCATCTGTCACAAGGTCAACGTTTATCAACAGGTAAGTGAAAAAGAGAGGACCCCCCTGACTCAGCCAATCAGCTCTCTGATAAGACGAAGACAGCATGTCTTGTTCACAATTCATCTTTCTGTTTGGTAAAAACAACACTATTATTTTTATATATACAGAAAAAAGGTTTGGTACCTTTATCTCTGCATGGTAATATTTACAAGAAACTCAATGGGACAAGCATACGTTTTTTGTTGTTTTTTTTGCAATAAATTCTCCTTTTGTGAATGCCTTTCACGTTCCAGGCCCTTGCGTTTGGATTCTCTATGTACATTTTGAACATTATCTACTACTACTTTCAAAAATGTCAAAAGCATTTTTATTGTAATTCTATCCTTGCAGGCATATCACCATTGTGGTTAAACTCTGAATATAAGAACATATCCTTCTTTCCATCAAACAGCAGCTCAAAGTTCAAGTGTAACTGATCTCTGGTTGAATACCGCGCTGGTGCGATCACACACGGTCACATATCCAATACACGCATCACGGAAACATCAGCCACTCTCAAAGCACAGCTCCACAGCTGACTTGATAAACGCAGAATATAAAAATAACTCACCCGGAGCTCCTTCAAACAGAAAGTTATGTCTGAGTCCACTCCGACCTGGAAGTAATGGAACTCGTCTGGGTGTAAGGACATCTCTGTGTGCATGAGCTTCATGTGACCTGCCACATACAGAAGCAATGAATGCTTTAGCAACTACTATACATACTACACTGTAAGTACGCAAACTATGTCACTGCTAGGGGACATAGTGACAAATGTTTGGTTTGATGAGATTTAACTGAAACTCTAATTAGGAGAAGGATATACAAATTGACTCACCATTTCCTCTTTCAAAGTAATTTCTCAGACTGACTTTTGCAGCAGATATTGATAATGTGATTTCCTCCTGGGAAACTGGGAAATGCATCACCATGTCACTGAGGAGTCTGCAGCAGAGCACACAGGGACATGTTTGTCTGCACATGGGGAAAAGCCCAATTCATATTATAACAGGGAAGTGTATTGACTTGGCTGGAGCTTTGAGGACATTGGGACAGAGGTGTGAGGAGAAAACCGCCTGAAGAGCATCACTCTCCTGGAAGCGCAGGTTGTGAGTTTTGACAATGCCTGTAACAGAAAGAACTCATAAACATGGCAACATATCTTTCACCCAAGGCTGAAATTAACAATTATTTTGACAATCAATTGGCTGTCTTGTTGCAATCTCAAATTAAACCAAACAGACAACTCCAAATTGATAATGAATGGATTATCAATGTTTGGTTTGGTTTGGTTTCCCCCAGCTACCCTGGTTATAGTTGTTTTATCCTCTTTATCCTATTTATAATCTTGATAAAGAAAAACAAACGGTCCAGACAGGACCGTTTGAACGAGTCTATGGTTTGAACACAGCTCCACCTTGCGGAGAGAGCATATAAGTACAAGGTAGCAGTGATAGAAAGAATCCTTTCTCCAGTTAAAATAATTTAGTTCCAACAGTTATACAAAATCTATTTAAACAAATGAATTGGGAATTACAGGGTTTTTATATTTTTAACACTCTAAATTCAGAACAAATGTAAAACAAAGATGTGTCTCAGGTGTGAAATTATGATGATCAAAGTGAACAAAATAAACAAATCAACCAATTAGGCCGCAGAATCAGCTCCCAGTTCATCATCAGTTTGCACTCCAGGAGGTGCTACAGGTACAACAGATCACAAATGTACACAATGTGTAACTCTTCACAACAATGAAATGCACATGAGCTTTGCCTCTGTGTTACGCAAAGACATTATCTTAAGTTCTTTGAAAGAGTTAGTGATATAGCACTTGTTCCCATGTGTTTATGTGAACAGCAGAGAGCTGACACAGGGAAGTGTTGGGGAAATACACAGGACTTGTTTTTATGTGATTAGGGCTGTGGTCAGAAGTTTTAGTGGGGATGGGATGCAAGTTAATTGTCAAAATAGAGAGATGTCAAAATTAACTATGTACTTTCTTTTGAAATTTAGAGGGTGTACTTTATATACAGGTGTGCTTAATAATCCACCAAGTACTGTGCAGCTGTTATGTAGTTTATGGAAGTTTAGCAGTTGCTTTTCATACATTTGATCTGGTTTTAATCATAGCCATTCCGTGCTTTGCTCCTGCTGTAGTACACAGTGAAATGATTGAGGTCCTACCATGTTTGCAAAAGAACTTCATTTTCACTAGATCCTCTTCAATGGAGATTTCAAAGCGTTCCACAGTGCGCTCAATGGAAGGAAGTCGAAAAAGAGGTAGTATGGACTACAGACCAGCACAAAAAGCTGTTTATTTAACATGTATAATATGTAAGTTGTGTGTGTAAATGATGGAGGCCGGACCTTCATTAGAAGTTTACATTTGATGGCCTCAGCACTCTTCTCTGTGGCTGAACGCAGGTTGTATTTGTGGAAAAACAGTGGTGAGAAGAGGAAGCAGGAGTAGGCAGAGTGTGCTGAGTTCACAGACCTCAGGGCCAGCTGAGAACAGTAACGGTCACACACAAATAAATACATTAAAACAAATAGCGTTGGTTTAAGAACATAAGTGAGTTTTCTTTGATGAATGCTGCTTACTCCTTTGGCCAATGGGTCCAACCACAGCTCATCTCCAAGTCTTGCCAGGGCATGAACCGCCCTACCGAACGCTGGAACAGACAGACAAACTATGCCTTCTCCAAAAAGATAACAAAAAACAATGTTTGACCCGTGATTGAATTTGAAATAATGATTAACTATACTGTCAAAAGGACCCTGCACCTGAAGCATGTGCATGTTCAAGCAAAGTCATTCATTGGTATGATTTGTTAATTTGAACTAATAAAGTAATAAAATCCATTTAACTCACACTCAAAACTGTTTGGTTGGATTGCCATTTTTCACATACATGTGTTTGAGGCCTTTCAGACAGAAAAGCGACCACACTCACTCTGCCAATCAGCTCTCAGCCTATAGCTTCAAATAGGGACTCAAAAGGCTCTTTCTTAGTCGCTGGTGTACAAAATATTTCACATGGTCACATTTAGAATGTTCACATAATTTGTATGTTATGTTATATAAAACCAATGCATTATTATTTATTATTATTAGGACAAACATTCAAAAAAGTTAGATCTCCAGCACAGCCCTAGGATACACTTTTGTATGACTTTTACGAAAAGCAGTTAGAGCTAAAAACCGAATAATTAAGCGAGTTCAGCTAAATTAAATACCAAAGCAATAATCATTATTATTGGGTTAGGGTTAGGTTTACCATAGACTGTGTTGTTACTAGCCACTGAGCTAGTAACAAGCTAGCTCAGTGGCGCTAGCTTGTTACTGCTTCGCTCTCTTCCAGAGGTTAGCATTAGCGAAACTCCATATAAATGAGAAAACACTTCGATTAATGAGTAAATGTTTAAAAATATTATTTCACATTACCTTTAACGCAGTTTCCTTCAACGACACAGTTCATTCTTGAAGGTTGTCAACTTTTCTAGTCGCACTAAAGTAAGCTGTTCCCGCCTCTGTTGAGATCACAGACATGGATGTGATACACTCGGTCTGGGTGTGTACGCTAAACCTTCTATTTTTTCACGTGTATTTATAAAAAAAATCTTATTTTCAAAATAATTAGTTTTTTTATACATATATTATTACAACACGAATTAATAGAATCAAGGTTTAGGTTCTCCTTAGTATATATTACAGTCTATGGTCTCCCTTTCATTCTTTGGCCCCCTGCTGGACATTAGAGTAACTGCAGGGGGAACCTCTGAAGGTTGTTGATAACACAAAAGCAATCAGACAAGAATCAATTTTCAAATATTTGCTTGAAATTATTACACAGATTGGTTTTCTTTTTCACTTTATCCATTTATAAATGCATTAAACAGTTACAAATGCATTTTCTTAAGGCTTTTGAAAATGCTTATGATCTGTATTTATCACATAAACACATAAACCTACATGATTTACTGGAGTGACATATTTATAGAGTGATGTTCCACAGTACAACAGTAAACATTTATAGTGTATTGTTTTTAATTGCCAAACCCATAATGTTGTACAGTGTCACCTCTCTAGATCTGACCTGCTGTTTCCATGAAGAGAAATCACTTAATTCCTGTACTTACAGACAATAACATATCCATAGAGGCAATCACAGAGCTTCTAAAAGAAACGTTACAAAGTGACGCATTAGGAAATGGACACTCATTGCCGGTTGACTATTTTTGGAAGTCGAATGTTGGGCTGAGTGACCCTTCTCCCTTGTGGCTTGACTCTGGCTCCATTCTCCTTTTCAGATGATTCTTGTCTGAATTTCTGATTTTGTTTAAGTTGAAGATCTCCACATCTCCTTCTGCCAACTGAGATCTGACCTGAGAGGCAAAATGAATGGATCAGTAACAAGGCAGCAGGTAACTTTTCCCCCTGGTAATATTTTTGCTAGTTAGTCTTCCATCAATCAAGATCCAGTTTGAGAAAAAGAAAAAATACAAAGATGAAAAATACAGACTTTTGAAGTACTGTAACGCTTTGTTATGTAATTCAATCCAGATCTGATGTTGATGTCTGACGTGTGTTGCAGCCTCTAATGAGAAAATGCAGAGACCTGACTGCAGGCAGCTGTGTAGGACGTCCAGATAGTGCTGCTTCATCTGTCGCCTCATCTGCTCTGTGCTGTAGATGCTGCTGATGCTGTGGAGGTACCGCCTTTTCCCAGCTGCGAGGGAAGCGTGCTGCTGTAAAAAAAAAAAAAAAATACTATAATTCATCATTAATCAATTAATACACATAAAAATCTCATACTTGAAGAAAAAAGCATTTTTTTATCAGAACTATTTACTGTTTATTGTCCTTTAAAGAACCAGGAATGTCCCGCTGATATTTCAGAATCTCTTTTTCAGAGGGAGTCCTGGCCTCAGATATGGGACGGGAGTGGGATCGATTATCCAGGACATTTATGGACATTGGTCATCTGCCCATTATGGACCAATGCCTCCAATGTGTATGTTTTTATTGCATTTCCTGAGTTTGATTCTGTGATCTGTATTGACGAATCAACAACTTTGAGATACTGTGTGATTTAAGGCTACACAAAAAAAATATAGCTCTAAAATAAATACAACCCTTAAATATAGCCACATTGTATAGTGTTTTGGGTGACTTTGGTTTGAAAAATGCACTATATGAAAAAAGATAAGATAAGATAAGATAAGATAAGATAAGCTTTATTTATCTCACATAGGAGAAATTTACATGTCACATTTGGCATGGATAGGACACTCAGATTGTGCAAAAGGAGGAAATGTGCAAACGTGTTACATGCAGGATATATATGTACAATAAAAGTGACAATAATTATGTACAACAAAAGTGACAAGTGTCAATTGGAAACAGTGTCAATAGTAGTGCAGGTTTTCACACAGTGATCATTTAAAGTGACTTATTGTACAGTCTGACAGCGGAGGGAATAAAGGCCCTGCGGTAGCGCTCCTTCCTACACTGAGGGTGCCTCAGTCTTCCACTGAAGGAGCTCCTCAGCTCCTCTACAGTCCTGTGCAGTGGGTGGGAGGTATTGTTCATGATGGAGGTGGCTTTGGCTAGCACCTCCTGTCCCTCACCTCCTCCACAGAGTCCAGGGAGCAGCCCAGAGTGGAGCTGGCCCTCCTGACCAGCTTGTTCAGTCTGTTTCTGTCCCGCTCTGTGCTGCCCGGGGCCCAGCAGACGGCAGCGTAGTAAATGGCAGAAGCTACCACAGAGTCATAAAAAGTCCTGAGCAGAGGCCTGCTCACTCCGAAGGACCTCCTCAGAAGGAAGAGGCGACTTTGGCCCTTCTTGTGCAGGGCGTTTGTATTATGGGACCAGTCCAGTTTATTGTTAATGTGAACACCCAGGTACTTGAAGCTGTCCACCAGCTCAATGTCCTCCCCCTGGATGATCAGCAGCGTGTGGGAAAGTGGTTTTCTCCTGAAGTCGATGATCATCTCCTTGGTCTTACTGGTGTTCAAGCACAAGTGGTTGCACTCACACCAGTCGACAAAGTCCTTGATAACCGACCGATATTCCAGTTCGTTCCCCTCAGACACACAGCCCACGATGGCGGAGTTGTCGGAGAACTTCTGCAGGTGACAGCTGTGTGTGTCGTGTGTGAAGTCTGAGGTGTAGATGGTGAAGAGAAACGGTGAGAGGACAGTGCCCTGAGGGGCCCCGGTGCTGCAGACGACCACCTCAGACTCACAGCTGCGCAGCCGCACGTACTGTGGTCGCTCTGAGAGGTAGTTGATGGTCCATGCAGTGAGGCTACTGTCCACTCCCGCGTCCTCCATCTTCCCCCGCAGCAGTGCCGGCCTGATGGTATTGAAAGCGCTGGAGAAGTCGAAAAACATGACCCTCACAGCGCTCCCTGCGGGCTCCAGGTGGGAGAGCGTCCGCTGCAGGAAGTAGATGACGGCGTCCTCTACTCCGATGTTGGGTCTGTAGGCGAACTGCAGCGGGTCCAGGGTGGGGCTGACCATGGAGCGGAGATGGGTGAGGATGAGCCGCTCCATGGTCTTCATCAGGTGGGAGGTCAGTGCAACTGGTCTGTAGTGAGCCGGTTCCTTGGCGTGTGCTGTTTTTGGAACCGGGATCACACAGGAGGTCTTCCACAGGACAGGGACCTTCTCCAGGCTGAGGCTCAGGTTGTACATGTAGCTGAGAACCCCAGAGAGCTGGTCTGCACAGGTCCTCAGCAGCCTGGGACTGATCCCGTCCGGTCCTGCGGATTTCCTCAGCTTCAGGCGCTGGAGCTGACTCCTCACCTGGTCCGGTGTGATGGAGAGGGGGGGGACCGGGGTGTACTGTCCGAGGTGGGGGCTGGGGATGCGGGGGCAGGAGGGCCCGGGGCAGCCGGAGGCAGTGTCCACTGGGCGGTGTCCACTGGGCTGGGGACGTGTGAAGAGGTGGGGGCGGGAGGGGGGGAGGGGGGGACGTGTAAAGAGGTGGGGGCGGGAGGGGGGGCAGATGGAGAGGGGGGAGAATCAAACCGGTAACATCACTTACCTCTAGAAAAGGAGCTGTCGTCATGTATTTGGGAAAGTAAAACTGTTTGTTCCCCGACGTGATGCCAATGTCATACTTTCTCACTCGTTTATGGGGTCCAAACTCACAACCTGCCCAAGAACATGAGCCCATCATTAGCAGTGTATAATGAAATACGTTGTGCGTGTACATTGGTCTTGTGTTTACATGGAGGTCCTAAACTTGGAAACTGGCCTAATATGAACACTCAATCAATCAATCAATCAATCAAATCCATTCAAGAACACAAGATAAAAATATAAAGTACCTACATTTAAAACCACAAACAACTAGAACTCTGTGATATATTACGTCAAACTAGTTCCTTGCTCTCAAAACAGTTTGGTACCATCATTAGTTTGCATTTCCTTTTGGTCTCTATCACATCTTTAGATCAGGGGCCGTATTCCTAAAGATTCTGAGAGTCCTCTCAGAGAGCTCTTATCTTAACCTAAAAACTCCTAGCTAGGAGTCTTAGCTTAAAAGTTATTCCAGAACACTCTTAGAGAACTCTGAGCAAGGAATTGACAACAACTTTTATCTTAGTGAGGAGGCGTGGCCGACCCCGTTGCTAGGTATGAGTCATCATTTCAGACGCTGTGATTGGTTGATCCTAAAAGTTAGAAAAAACATATTTTTGATGATAATAGGCAAAATAAGGGCCCTAAAATGGACAAACTCAATCATGGAATCTAATCTTAGGAACACTGCGTTATTGTAAAAAATAACCAAAAGCTATAAAGTCAGATATATCAATGGTACATAAATACTGTGAATAGTAAAGTTAGACTTATACACCATCATCAGAGCTTGCTCAGCACCAATTTATCACACATAATACGTATATATCATGAGCACTTATAATTTTATATATATATATATATATATATATATATGTATATGCCAAATACTATAATAATAGTATTTGGCAGTTATACTATTTACTATATAACTGCCAAATACCTCCAGCGAGTAAGGCAGGTCCTAAGAAGCCGGCTCAATGGCAAGAACAAGGCCCGGGCAATTAACAGCTACGCCCTGCCAGTGATCAGATACCCTGCAGGAATAATCAGGTGGCCAAAGGAAGAGATTCAGACCACGGATGTTAAAACTCGAAAGCTCCTTACCATGCATGGCGGGTTCCATCCCAAATCCAGCACCCTGAGGCTGTACGTAAGCCGTAAAGAAGGAGGCCGAGGACTAGTGAGTGTGAGAGCCACTGTCCAGGACGAAACATCCAAACTCCATAACTACATCATGGAGAAGGCCAAAACGGATGACGTACTCAGTGAATGTCTCAGGCAGTGGGCGAGATGAGGAGGTGCTGGAGGAGAGCCCATCATGGGAGAACAAGCCCCTACACGGCATGTACCACCGGAGCATAACAGAAGTGGCTGATCTCAAGAAGTCCTACCAATGGCTAGAAAGGGCTGGCCTACAGGACAGCACAGAGGCACTCATCATGGCTGCACAGGAACAGGCACTGAGCACCAGAGCGATAGAGGCCCAGATATACCACACCAGACAAGACCCAAGGTGTCGGTTGTGCAAAGAGGCACCTGAGACGATCCAACACATAACTGCAGGGTGCAAGATGCTGGCAGGGAAGGCCTACATGGAACGCCATAACCAAGTGGCTGGCATAGTGTACAGAAACATCTGTGGAGAGTATGGGCTGGAAACCCCAAGGTCTAAGTGGGAAACTCCTCCAAAGGTGGTGGAAAATGAGCGTGCGAAGATCCTGTGGGACTTCCAGATACAGACCGACCGAATGGTAATGGCAAACCAACCTGACATCGTGGTGGTAGACAAAGGGCAGAGGACAGCCGTGGTGGTGGACGTGGCAATTCCAAGCGATGGTAACATCCGGAAAAAAGAACATGAAAAGCTTGAGAAATACCAAGGTCTCAGAGAGGAGCTGGAGAGGGCCTGGACAGTAGTGCCCGTGGTGATCGGTGCACTCGGGGCAGTGACCCCGAAGCTAGATGAGTGGTTACAGCGGATCCCCGGAACAACCTCGGACATCTCGGTCCAGAAATGTGCAGTGCTAGGAACAGCAAAGATACTGCGCAGAACCCTCAAGCTCCCTGGCCTCTGGTAGAGGACCCGAGCTTAGAGAGGGATAACCGCCCGCGGAGGGCCAAAGGTGAGTGGACAATTTTTTTTTTAATATATATATATATATACATATAATTTAAATATTACTCTATATATAATATACATGATAAAGAAAATTATTATTATAAATATTATATGGATAAATGATGATAATGATAACGTTAGGATTAGTAAAGGCTGTGATATGTATAGACTTATAAGGAATTAAGGAAACAATATTAATATAAACATATTATACATACACTGTACAAATCAAGTACAAGGGAGCTTAAAAGTCTTATCCTCTCCCACTCCTTTTTGAGCTGGATTGTTGTTAATAAAACAAAACTGTATATTTGTACTTCTATTCTGTTGTTGTTTTGTTTGTTTTGTCCTTTTTTTTCTTGTTTGCCATGGCTCAAAATAAAGTATTCATTCATTCGTACTGAATGTGTGACAATTTAGGACCACTTTTTCCTCTCTTTCAACTTTTACCATTTCTACTTACTTTTGTGTAACAAAGGTAAAATGGATGAGGTGTTATTGCTGACCAGCCAATGAGAAGCTGGTCACATGATTGACTTTTAAATATACCACAAACATGATTCCTGCTTGAATCTGTAGCGTTTCACTGATTCACTGTCATCCAGTGTATAGAATATTTCTCCTGTCTCCACCGTCCACCATTTTGTGCTCTTAGGGAACTTTTAAGTCGCTAAAAGTCCTCCTCTCAACTCTTAAGGGATCTCCCCTTAAGAGCACTCTTAAGAGCTAGGATTTTTTAGGAATAGCTTTTATCTTAACTAGGAGCTACTCCTCACTTTTAGGGGAAATTCTAAGAGTTGGTCAAGATTCTAAGAAAATTCTTAGAATTTGGCCACTAGGAGCAACTTTTAGCAGTAAGAATCTTTAGGAATACGGCCCCAGATTTTTCCGATACAAAAGTGAAATAGAAGGACCCCCAATTCAGCCAATCAGCTTTCAGCCCAAAGTGTCAAATAGTGACTCTCAAGGCAAATATGAGTGAGTTACAAGTATGCAAAATTAACAGGTTTACATGTTGGGACAAAATAAGTCTATAATTTATGAAACAAAAATCTTATATACCTCAGCTTTAAATTCCTAAAATTACTTTTGACTCACAATTTGAAGTGCAACTGCTATTTTCTGCAGACCTGTCCACAAACACAAGAATACAGTACATGTGATATATTACACACAAAAAACATGAATCTAAATGAATTTGTATTTTCACTCACCTCGTCACCGGTGCCTGCTCACATTGTACCCATTTTTCTTTCTTCAGGTTCTCCACAAAAGTCACCTGTTTCCTCATGATAAAAGCTGAGTATTCCTAGCAGAGAGATGTTATCTATGCGTTTGGCGTTATGAGGTCCGAAGATCGACCCACAAGTGTGAAACCAAACCAGGCCTGAAACCAGATCCTAATCTAGGGCGTCCCATTACAGTGCGGGGGTCCAGGTACTTTAACCTAATGTGTGTTCTCATTCAATATGCATCAGGAAAACAAAACTACAGCTGAGAACAGAGGCCAGATAATGGCTCAAGTAGAGACATGTAGGTCAAAATCAGTGGTGGAAGAAGTACTCCACTTTGTCACTACTTTATACTGATAGATACAATATAGCAGGTCAAATCTACTGCTTCTTTTGCATTATTAAAAAAACTATATATTTCTATATAAAGCTAAAATCAGCAGAAAGCAAAAGAAGTGATTTATCAAGCAGTCTAAATCTACTCACAAATACTGGGTTTCAGATAAGCCATAAGCATAACACACCAAGTTACAGTACAATGGCAAATAATGTGAATATGTGGATTCACCTAGAGATGTGTCTTCTGACAGTACAATGAAACCATTGAGTTTGACATCACTTTCCAGAATCACCAATAAATAATTAATTACAAAATCATTACAATTACAGTCCAACTTCTGTAGCCAGAATCTTCAGGTCTATGACACTTGTTGCTCCTAAGCACGTAATTAATTTTGAATCGCTTTCTTTTGTGTGGTGCGTTCTTAGTGAAATGTGTTGTAAATGAGAAGCAAAACATAAGTTCCAAAACCAGCTACATTTCATTACTATACTAGCAACCCAAATGAGAGCTTAAAACATAAAATATCATGTGTCATTGTATTTTGAACTAAGAATAACTGCACTTTAAAAATCCATCTATCCATGCATCTTCTTCCCCCTAATCCATTTCTGGGTCAGGGGGGTGGTAGTCAGAGCTGCACCCAATTCACTGAGCACCAGCCGCTCTTTAAAAATATGATATCAAATATGATTTGTACATGTGACTTAGTATCTGGGGACACATAAAAGATAGACGTCATGTAAAATGATATTACTGTACATACTGTCCCTTCAATAGTTAACCTTTGTGAATAGTCTCCTGTAACATACGTCTTAAAATTAAAAGTCATTCTGTTTAGTTTACACACTTTATTGAGCATCATGTCCAATATGCATTGCATCAACACAAAATGGAAAACAAAAACCAACCAAACATAAGAAAAATAAAAAATATCAATGGCGTAGAGTGGATTTCCTGGAGACACCATTTTGTATTTTGAGCGTATTGCTTTGAGATTTCAAAACAGTGAACACCGGTCAGAGGTGGTCATGGTTAAGATTTGAGGATCCAAAGACAAAATGCATGTCTGTTGCAGCAAATGCACAAAAAACACTTCAAACCATGATTCCTCCACCTGAGCCTGATTGCATGCGCCATAATCCACTCTTGAATGTTGTAAATCTATATCCCAAACCATCTCAAGACTAACAAAGTGACTAAATGATTGAATCCAACCAAAAATATGTCATTCAAAAATAAATCACATTGAAGGTTAATACACATTTATATTCATATTTAAGTGTGTAATAGGTGTGTTTGAAAAATTCCAATCGTGTGAAAGCCAAAATTAAATAAGAGAAACTAGCAGAGTACTTATCTGAAATGTGTGACTCTAAATCTATTGTGGAAATTCTTAATGCTCCTGTGTGGTATTGAAAAACCTATGATCTCGACTTGTTTAAGAGGAGGTATAAGCGAAGATGGCAGTATGCGACATGTTCACAGCTTAGCAGATTCACAGACTGTTCTTGCTTGTTGATGATTTGTGTGTGAAAAGACAAAAAGTGTTGAACCGCGGATAGTCTCGGTGATAAGTGACGCCAAAGATGAGCTGGTTATTCCTGAGAAGTTGGCATGGTCCTCCTGTTAATCACCCAACACTGGTGCAAATCAATGAGAAAAATATATGATACGACTAAACCATAGCGGAGCTCAGCTTAAAGAAGAAATATTATGCATTATTATTGTGAATTAAAAATGATAACGAGGCTATTGACTTTGTAATTTCATGTTTTAGAAAATATATATGGTGAAACAGGCATCATGGCGAAATAATGCCCTATCCCTATGATAGCACCGAAGGAAGGTGTAGATTTTTTGGTTTTCTCATTTCCAAATTTGAAAATTACCGGCTGCAAACAAGCCAAGGAAAGTAATTTCAATGGAGAGATTGCCAAAACAAAATTATTGGCACTACTTTTGTTTTGAAAAAGGTAGAAAATGAGTGTGGCGTCATACTGGTACAATGACTTACTATTAGAGGACAGACAGGAGCTTTTAGACTGAAGGGGAGGAGTTCCTGATAATAGCGTGGATTGATCCGAAAACACTCTAGGTCTTTTTGATAAGGAACATGGTTGAAGGAATAGGCCACCGTTTTTACACACTGACATATGTTCTTACCTTAGACTAGTTGATATGTACCTGTCTGGTCTTTGTCCGTGTGCTCTGTCATGCAAACGGAGCACAGTTAAACAGTTACGTGACGTGTTACACTACAAAGTATAGCAACACAGAAATGTAACATGTCGATTTTCTCAGCGGATAAAAAGGGGTAATATATTGTGAGGCGTAATAATACGAGGAGCGCTTCGTCCGCGCACCTACTCCCAAGACTTCTCTCCCGCTCACTTCCGACAATAGAAGCAGCATGAGCGGGAGAGAAGTCTATGGGAGTTAGTGCGCGGACGAAGCGCTCCTCGTATTCCCTCTTTTTATCCGCTGAGAAAATCAACATGTTAAATTTCTGTGTTACTACACTTTGTAGTGTAACACGTCACGTAACTATTTAAATAGGAAACATGTGGAAGAGTTTGGGAGCTTCTAAAGGGGGGCTGATTTGGTACTATACAGTCTGTGGAAGAGGCTGCCTTTGTGCTCCATTTGCATGACAGAGCGCACGGACAAAGACCAGACAGGTACATATCAACTAGTCTAAGGTAAGAACACATGTCAGTATGTAAAAACGGTTGCCTATTCCTTTAAAAGAGCAAAAAACTGCCATTTTGCATAATATTTCTGCTTGAATCCAAACAACAGTTTCATGCACGGAATATGGCGTTCTTATGACTTGCACCAGTGTCATGTTGTTAACAGGAGGCCCGATTCTCAGCAAACAAAGAGGACGGAAAAATAAAGTCTCCGATCAGAGTCAGAACAGATGCAAAGGATACCCGAGCAGATATGAGGAGGTAAGGCTGGAGAAGGCAGCCGGGACAGAGCGCCAGTGTTCACCATGACCACTGCTGCGGAGTGAGAACGCACACAGAGATGACCTAACGAAAACAGCCTCTTGTTTCACACAATCCTGACCCTAAATTGCATAAGAAACCTGGTATAAAGTAGAAACTGTTCAGCAGCAGATAAAAAAGCAAGTCATTTACAGTAGTGACATATCTTACATCATTAATTTTTCAAAATAAATAAAATTAAATATACAGTTCCAGGAAGGAAAATAGGTATATTTCGCTGGCAAGGATCTCAAATTGGCTCATCTTGCGGAAAATGACGACCGGTCACAAATTCCTTTGACTGGCAAAACAAGGGGCAAAGGCTTGAAATTTTCTCTCTGAAGGCATTTCCTTAAAACTGAAAGAAAACAGACTTCTCAAAAACAATGTCTGGAGCTGGGACGCTGTTGTTTTTGGACACGGTGGACTTACCCTGGAATTTAATGATGGTTCTAGTCAAAAGCCATTTCTTGACTTTTTCTTACGCAGCGAGCGACTTTCCTCTTGAACTCACCGTTGGGGTCATCCCTCCATTCTTTCTGTAACAGGAACCAGACGAGCATGACTCAAAGCAGTGCATGTATCGAATGTGCATCATATAAACTCCTCCTGAGAGGCACCCAGTTATTTATAAAGGACGTACATGCAACATTTATGAGAAAGACAATACTCTATTTTACTCTTAAATGGTGCAGTTAAGTTGTTTTTAGGATGATGTTGGTGCCATATGAAACGGCTCGGACTCTGAGGAGCACAGGGACAGGACTAAACCTTGGCAGCTTTTTCATGCAGAAGGATATTATCTCTGTTTTTAATGCACTGTGGTTATTTTATTTTTAATCCCTTGTGTGATTTAACAGTTTTTATGATTTTAATTACCTGTGTGATTTTCAATAGTGTTTTAAATGGTGATTTTGGTGTTCGTTTTATGTGATGATTAGTGCCTTGTGTGATGTGGACTGAGAAGCGCCCTGTGTATGGAAGGCACTCTACAAATATAGATTGATTGATTTAAGGGCGACACAGTGGCGCTTGTGATTCACAGCTTGAAGGTCCTGCGCTCATTCACATCTACTATAGTCCCCCATAACACCCCACCCCGACCCCACTCCAGCCCCCTTTCTCCGGGGCCAGAACTCCCCTGAAAAATAGATTCTGCAATCTTAGTGGGACTGCTTATATAAAAGGTCACTAAAAATAAATGATGCATGTAGTCCATTCTCTTCCAATCAGGACGACAACAATGACCACAGATTAACACAGTTGGCCACAGCTCTGCACTTCATTTTCTATCGTTTATTTTCCAAAAATCTGGGAGATAACGTTTGTCTTTTTGATTCTAACAGAGGAAATCCCCTATGCAAGGCCGTCACCATGGCAGCCCTTTGATGTGATCCCATTGTAAAAGGTGGAAATGACTTACTGCAGCGTCCACGTTGGCCGGCGAGTCGCTGTTGGGGTCTGCGAGCATAGAGATTACACTGATCATGATTGTCTCTACTGTGTGGATGGGGAGCCAGCGCTCTTCTGGCTTTTCATAACCAAACTTATCCTCCCCGGGCTCGTGCAGGATTGAAATGCACACATCGCCATTCTTTGCAACTGTTGGAGAGATACAAAAAACCTGTTACATTTTACATGCGGACAGTATCAATTCCAATGATGATTAGTCAACCGATAAATAGAAGCAATTTTAATTTGCAGTAGACGTGAATAATACAGTCCAATACTTTTTAAATGTCTGATGAAAATGTTAAGTAAATAGAAAAAGACTGGACTGTAAAGATTCTGACGTCCAGTCTTACACACATGAATACTTTTGTTTCTCACAACATGGAAAAGAAATAACTTTTGCCATAATATTGGCAATAAATGTTCAATAACATTTTGTAATAATCAACCAAAAAATGTCCTTTTATTGAGCAGATCATGTCCAAAATAAGTTTGTCCAAAATAATCTGAACTTATCAGACAGTGCTTTGTTTATATACAGTCAATAGGACTGCGTAAAATGAGGAACAGCTGTCAAGGTTATTGTATAGACTGGAATCTTCAAGTATTTTTGACAATAACTCCTGAAATGTAACAAATCAAGTATATCCGGTTGTCGAGCAGCTGACTTGCATTCTTTGAGCTTGTAACGTCTGCATTTTTCTATATCGCCTCTTGACTATAGAATATGATGTTTTGAATTTCCTTCAACTCATGCTCTTAGTACATTTCTTGTCAACAATTGTATCATTTCTGGTTCTGTTTGGCCGTTACATTATCACCTTCAAATAAATAATGCAAGTAAAGTCACGGACATCAAGCCATTAACTGTTGAGGTCATTGACTTACCATTTGGGTGCCAGATTTCAGTGATAAATTTCATCTTTGGAGGCCGTAGTGGATAGTCATAAGGAAAGGTGAGGTAAGCTTTGAAAAAACCTCCTTCGCTGAAATATAAAGAAAACACATTTTAATTGGTTAATTAGTGTGAGAAGAACGATTGTGTCATTTTGTTTTTCTTTTGTTTGAAAGTATAACAGAAGCTTCTATTGACAAACGAGTCAGAATAAACACAAAATTGAATTTTGCTGAATTCACTTTTTGAATATCAAATGTGATACATACAAAAGGGTGTCTTGTGGGCCGATAATCACAACCTCCCATTTATAGATATCGTCGTCATCTATGAGACCAGCTGAAAAGCCCTCCACAGGGTTCTTGTTGAGCTCTGGGACAAAGTGATTAAAAACAATGATAAACACAAAGCACAAAAAGGCAAAATATGAAACAGAGAGCAATTGTTTATTTTTCACACGATAGCAGGTAAAGTGCTGATAATTATCCTTTAATTTGGCTAATTCTAGCATATTTAGGCATATACTCATTAATATGCAATATGAATAAATAACTTTTAGGTATGATTTATGGAGGTGGTTCACGATTCGGTTTATTTGCCATTTGTGGTCAAATTGCAAATAAACTGAATCATAGTTTAATTAAAAGCTCGATTTTATCTCCAGTCTTCTTACATGAACTTGATCTTGTCTGTATATATTGTTGTTGTTGACTAATGACTGGAGAAATTAATATTATATGCGGCTGAAACAAATTACATGCCAATAAGGATAACGCATAAAAAGAACGCTTGTTTCTCACAACAGTGGTGGATGGAATAAAACGCAACAATAAAACAGGTTTTTCTCTCTCTCTCATTATAACCACTGTAGACAAAGCGAGGCATACATAAACACCATGTGAAAGGCTGTCAGAGTCTATAGCCCGTACGTGTTCATAATACAGCCTTTCATTACTTTGATTTGTGCAGTAAATCTGGGCCAGATGACAGCAAGCGGGACGTGTCCAGGGAATATTTCAGCAAGACACAGACGTAACCATTTCAACCATAGTCCATAATCCAACCTGCTACTCGTAATAGAGTGAAAATACTGCAAAAATATGCTTTACGCAGAGAAGAGCGCATACAATCGTGAGAGACTGATTATTCCTTTGTTCCTCACTAAAGCACAACTTGCCATAATCTAAAGCGACATTGCATTGTGTTGTTGCCTGGATACTGGGATAAAGAAAGATGCAGTGTTGTGTTTCTGCAAGCGACAATAATAAAACGTGTTTTTTTAACCACTCTGCTAACAATAAACAGCAAATGCAATGAGATTTTGCCTGGGAGTCTATGGCGTAAACAGAGCTAATGCTAATGCTAATGCTCACCCATGCTAACACAGAGGCTGACAGCTAAGTAGCTTTTAAAACATCCCCTTTGGGCTCCGGGTGAAGTCTGCACATTACCTGCCAATTGTTTTCGAAGAAGTAGCGCTGATTGTTCGGTCATGGTACGTGGACGTGAGTTGAAGCACTTTGCAGCTACAAATGGACGAAAACAAAGCTAACAAGCGCTGCTTCTGTTTTGACATACGGTTCAGCTGCTGAATTTGGTTCTGCGCATGCGCGGCTGTAATTGCGCTGGGCCCGTGCGACTCGTGGTGATATTGCGCTTGATGGACTTGTATGAACTCAAATGACTTTACACTGCTGTTGTTTATGTCTGTCTGCTCTTGTCTGGATGTAACAGGACAACAACAAGTGTGCTGTTTGTGATCAAGTGGGATTTATATAAGAAAGAAGGATATTGTAGCATACCAAATGGTAGAGGGAGGACAGAGACAGAAAGAGGCAAATTGTAGTTGGAGATTCTCCTCAAAGTTAGGTCCTCGTTTATTTATAGAGATCCAAAACCCGCGAAACATAGGTTCCAAGGTAACACACATGCACACTAGTAAATACTAAAAAGTCGTTTACAATATATAATAATAATAATGCATCGGTTTTATATAGCGCTTTTTTGGACACTCAAAGACGCTTCACATGTGTCATTATTCATTCACTCCATACACGGTGGTGATAAACTACTACAGTAGCCACAGCTGCCCTGGGGCACACTGACAGAAGCGAGGCAACCAGTATGTGCCATCGGCCCCTCCGACCACCACCAACCATTCACACACACACCAGACTCATTCTAGGCAATGGGGGTGAAGTGTCTTGCCTAAGGACACAACGGCAGTTTGGCACTTTACAGCCGCAGCCGCCCCACTGTGGCTGGTGTTCCCAGAGGTTAAGTGTCTTGCCAAGGACACAACGACAGTAATCAGTGGGAGTCGATGGTGAAAGTCCTGAGCGGGGCTTGAACCCACGAACTTCTGGCTCAAAGGCCAACGCTCTACCAACTGAGCTACTGCCGCCCTATATACCACTTCATGTCATACTGCATTCATACTCTCATATTCCTTCTTCTCTTGGGGACTGCATTTGTCAACCCAATTTATATTCTCTATTATAAAAGAGTACTGAGTAACGCTGCATACATCTTTTATGTTTTGAGTACTCACAATACTTAATCTGATGATGAAGAGTGCTAGTATTAGTGAAAAATCAACAACTTTTACCGGTCTCTAAAATAGTCTATGATCAAAATATATCACAGTCACAAGTAATGATTTCAATATGAGGAAGTAAGGAATACGTTTTGGAATGAGTTTTAAAAGCTGCTTTTCTTTTTAATTAACTAATTGGGTTTTGGATTTAAAGTAGACATAATTGGATTGTTTCCTACTCTGCTGCCTCCCAACCCTACAGCAATACCCACCCACCTCACGGTGAACTAAGAAATGTTTTGTCTGCTTCTGAGTAAACCTATATCAAACCAGAACTCAAACAGGACTTATTCTTTGTTGTTAAATACAATTATATGCTTAACCTAAACTGCCAGATAGAAAACCATTAAATATTAATAAAATTCATTTGTTTGGTTAAACAGTGAAATATCATAACATTTTAGAGGTGGTCTGGATCCATGATTACCGTACATAAATTGCATCTTCACTCAAAATGACACATCATGAAGGTGACATGTACAACTTTAAATTTATGGTGCCAGCGTCAAGACCGAAAGAAGACAGCACATCTCAAGAGACAGAGACTGCTGTTCCTGAGGAGGTTTCCAAGGTTGACGAGCCCCAACAGGACAAAGACAGTTCTGTTGCTCAAGATGACTCCATCCAAGCAGAAGCGATCCTGTCCCAAATAGTGGCAAAACAGGAAGACGTTTTGGGTGTGCAGAAGAAAATCTTTCCTAAGATGAAATGTTTCTGTGGATAACACTGAGGAAGAGGTTCAAACATTTTTTGAAGACCCTGTGTCTTTCGAATCCCCTGAAGACACTTGAATAGGCAGCACCCGTGATTGAGCAGTCACCAGAACCCGCACGGATGGAACACGAGGAGATAACTGTTTGTGATGCCCATGATGTCACCCAGGATCACATTAGAAATGGACGGATGGAATAACTTGTTTTGGTACAGCTTTGAATTTACAGAGCCAGAGCCAAGACCAAAAGAAGCAGATTTCAAGAGAAAGAGATAGCAGATCATGAGAAAGTTTCCAAGGTTGATGAGCCCCAACAGGACCATTAATGTTCTGTGTCTCAAGACGACTCCATCAAGGAAATCCAGTCCCCAACAGCATCTGGTGACACTTCTGCTGCTGCCCAAAATGTTTTTTCCTGGATAACATTGAGGAGGTTCAGACACTTTCCGAGGACCTCAGTCTCTTGAGACCTGTGAAGACACCGCTACAGATGGTGTTGAACAGGCAGCACTCCCGAGGGCCCAGGAACAGTTATCAGAGCTTGCCCGGACCAAGAATTTAAAAGAATCTGTTGGGAGCTCAGATGACAAGACCACAGATGAAAATTGTGAGACAGTGGTCATTGAAATTGTGTTATATTGCAACAACCTCACATCATCACTGTCTTTAAAAACTTGTTTCTCCCCTACACCCTTTTCCTGCACCACGTAGGATTTCGCCAACTGACCTTCGAGGCTCCTCTTTGTCACCAATGCGCTCACCCAAAAACTATTCAAACTGACTGGATCCAAAGACCATAGTGCGGGTCTAATGGATGTCTGCTTGCACAACAACATAAAGCAGCAGCTGGAGTTAGATGAAAACTGCCATATAAAGCTGCGCAACTTGGAAAGTCAGTAAAGCAGCTGTAAAAGGTCCTCTGGTGGAGTATGGCTCGGCAGACACACTCCTGAGAGCAGATTACAAAGAGGACACAGCTGCATTTGAAACGGCTGCTGTGAAACATAAATGTTGGGTTGAGCGCCGACCAGTAGCGCCCCAAGTCTGCTCTGTCACAGCTCTTCTCCAGACTGAGGAGGGCCTTTATCTTCAAGTAATCCCCAACCCAGCATGACCAGCACTTCTAACCATCTTTGAGGAGGCACTAGTTGCTTTATCAAAGATGTCTTAAGGAGTGTTTTAACAATATTGGCCCCTGCTGTACATAATATACTGTAGGTCTGGGATAGAGATCCTAAAGTTTAGTCAGTTGTGCCTAAATATAATATACAGTATGCAGAGCAATAAATGGTCATCTGTTTGTTGTATTATGATTCAAGTTTACCATTGTGTTTTTGTATCACTGAATGCTACATTCACCAAGTCTGCCTTATTTACCTTTGGAAAAACAAACCAGGAAAAGTCACACATTTTAGAATAGTGCCATTCAAGCATATTTTGTTTGAAATTCTCAATCACAGGGCAATGCTACTAATTTCTCATCATTCTGGAAGAAGTATTGCACACAAGCATGAAACATCCCAAGTTAAGAGGACAAAACTATGGTTCATGCCTATATCAGGGTTTTTCAACCAGTGTGCCGTGGCCTCGAGATGTTGTTTGGTGTGCCTGTGGAAATTATCCATATCAGCACGCTACACTTGTATTCCAACTTGTTTCCATGTGTCATGCATCGTTGTAATATCCTTATTTTATACCAGTGCAATATTCCTATCTTATACTTGAATGTGCAATACACAGCTGCTAATTTACAGATGTAAACATACTGCTGCTAGTGTACAGATGCTAACATATAACCACACTTTACTTGCACTAGAATACACAGTACTTTGTATATAATGTTAAATTTTTACATGTATTATTATTTCCAAGATAGTTTTTATATTCGTTATAGATGATAGAGTTAGAGATTTTGTTTTATTGTAATTAGGACCGCTACTGTTCAGGTAACGTGTGCTGTGTGCTCCTCTTTCCTACTGTTCTATTACTGAAATTTCCCCACTGTGGGACAAATAAAGGATCTCTTAATCTCTTAATCTATTCTACCCTTCTTTTTATTTAAGACATTTTGATGAGAATAAATTTGCATTGTTAATAATGGCTGTAGAGTTTAATTTTTGTATCAGTTCCAGCTGGTGGTGCGCATGTGATGATAAAAGTGTTGGGGGACACAAGTTAAAGAAAGAGGACTCAAGTGAGAGCCAACACTGAAACCTGTGTAATTCGGAACAACAAAAAGCATCATAAAGCATCATAAAGCATCATAAAGCATCATAAAGCATCATAGTACAATTTTCAGGTGCCTTCAGACCTCTGAAGTTAAGCAGGGCAGGGCTTCTCTCTGCGCCCCAGGGCAGCTGTGGCTACAGTAGTAATCCATTTCCTTCCTGAAACATAGTAAAGTGGTACTGCAAATACGATTCAGATGTGTGCAAGATGATCATAAGAAAAACATAAGAAATAGATATTAGTGCTGTCCAACGATTAAAATATTTAATCACGATTAATCGCATGAATTTCATAGTTAACTCGCGATTAATCGCAAATTAGTCACACATTTGCGTGCTGTGTGCAATTGCTTTTTTTATTGAAAACAATGTGTAGTGTTATATTACACACTAACATTTGATGCAAAATCATCAATAAATGGATGACAAAATAAATAATTGGTAACAAAAAGCCCCTTCAATGTGTGTGTGTGGGTGTGTGTGTGTATGTGTGGGTATAGACCATAGACTGTATAGAAACATCATGGTGTCATTATGATGATGATAAACAATCTGTAAATATTTTGTAAATTTGTTCATGTAAATACTCTATGCTGTTTCTCTGTTTACCTTCGGTATATCTATGACTGTATACTGTTTGCTTGTATTGCCTTTTTTATTAACCCCTCCCCCCATCTCCCACTTCATGTCCCTCCCCTCCTATGTGCCCTTCTGGGTTTCTTCTTTGGCCCCCTGTATCTCCAACTACATATTGTTTGTAATCTCTGTCTACAATGTATCTGAACTAGTCCTTTTCTTTGTTTCTATGTGTTTGTCTGCAATAAAAAGTAAAAAAAAAAAAAAAAATTTTTTTTTTTTATCGCGCGATAAAAAAAATGACGGCGTTAATATTGATTTGCGTTAACGCGTTAATAACGCGCTATTTTGGACAGCCCTAATAGATATACATTATAAATATATTATAATATTATTGTATTATTGTTATATTCTACATTACTTAACAGTTTTTTTATATACATATCAAAATGGTACAGATCTTTCAGTTTAAAAACAGACAATGATTTACCATAGAAGGATGACATAGAACCATAGAACCAGTGGAAGGGGGGGGGGGGGGGGGGGCCAGGGTTGTTATGAAAAAATAAATAAAAATAAACAATACTCACAAAAATGTAAATGGGAAATCTTTCAAAAAGTGTGATGTTTTTTATTGCTTTTGGGTGATTTGAGAGATGAGTATATTGCTTATATAAATTAAATTATTACATTAACACAGAGGTAACCGCAACACAAAAGACATTTGTGACGCTCCCGAAACCGGAAGGAAGTGCTTCGGACGCCATATTGGATTCGTTAGTTGCTACCTGTTAGCATTAGCTGTTTACTAATCTAAACTTTGTAGAATTTCACGCGCTCAAACTTATAAATATCTGTATATCTGAGCAGGATGAGTGCTATAGATCATATCCGGGACATGGCCGCCGCTGGACTTCACTCTAATGTGCGGATTATGAGCAGTTTGTTGCTGACGATGAGCAATAACAACCCGTGAGTAAAAGACACAGTTTACTTTCATTTGGACTTGTTTATGATTCTTATACAAGCAGCTGTTAATGTGTCAATGTCAATGTTGGTGAACCCGCTGCAATGACTTCTTGAACACTAAAGGTGCACTGTGTTGTTTCTTTGTGGAGGCTCTGAAACATGGATCTATTTTTAATCAATGTTGTGTCAATGAATGAATAAATTAAAGATGGATCAATATACATGATTATAATATAATACTGAAGGTGACTGCCAGAAAACCTAAACAGTTTACAATGTCATGTCATTGAACAGTACAGTGTGGTGTTTTGTGTCTGTGGAAACGTGTTTCATTATGATCATGCCGAAACCCCAAGATATAGCGTTACCTTTATTTTATCAAGACAGAAAACTGACATTATGATTGTTGGATTGGTTATGTCACTATTAAGTAAAGTAAGTAAATCACTCTCGTAAATACAGAACATTGTGAGAAGACCTTAAAGCTCTACATCTCTGGAGGTTCATGATGTTGTACTGTGCTGCATAGATAAACATAAACTCTTATGACGGCTCATTTGATGGGTAGTTCTTTGATAATTGTTTGAAATTGCTTTGTTGAGCACTGATCTTCCTCCTTCATTTAACTACATTTTGAATATTTTCTGTCCAACCAAAAAAAGCATCCCTCTAACGTTTACTGGTTCTTTGATATGACCTGTGTTTTCAGAGAACTGTTCACTCCAGCGCAGAAGTACCAGCTGCTGGTGTACCATGCAGATGCCATCTTCCATGACAAAGAATACAGAAACGCAGCCTGTAAATACACCATGGCCCTGCAGATGAGGAAAGTCCTGAGCAAAACCTCAAAAGTGAGGACTTCAGCCGGAGGAGCTTCAGCCAACATCCAAGCACAGGTCAGGACTCAAAAATGAGTTGGTGGATACACATTTGTGGCAACAGTGATAAAACATTGTTCTTTTTCTCACGGACGGCACGGTGGCTGAGTGGATAGCACTCTCGCCTCTCAGCAAGAAGGTCCTGGGTTCGAATCCCGGTTGGACCAGGGCCTTTCTGAGTGGAGTTTGCATGTTCTCCCTGTGTCTGCGTAGGTTTCCTCCGGGTGCTCCGGTTTCCCCTACCACTAAAAATATGTACAATAGGTCTGACATGTGCCTCCTATACTGGCGGCCCCACTCCCAAAAATCACAATTGTAAACCGCTTTGAGACTCCGATGTGCAGTGAAAAGACGGTATATAAATAAAGATTACTACTACTACTACTACTACTACTACTACTCACTGTTCAGGTGTTTTTGTTTATTCAAAGTTTGCATAGATTCTTTCCCAGTAATTAAAAATCATTATACATTTCTTTCTGCCTTTCTGCTTAACAACCGAGCAACATGGTGTCATGATGAGTGGGTAGCGCTCATGCCTCCCTGGTGAGAACGGCTGACATCGAGTATTATAGTGTATCCACATTGTATCCAGAAAAAGATTTAATTAGGCCACACAAAAAATTACTCAATTACATGTAAATTTCTCCTTGTGAGATCAATAAAGCATATCTTACCTTATCTTAGATGTAGATTTATTGTACATTTATACATTAATTTATAGATTTATTAAACAAACTGTAATTAATGATTACAACCCAAGTTTGATGCCACGTCAGTGCAGGCCTTTCAGTGTGGAGTTTGTGTTTCTCAGCATGTCTTGTTAGGGTTTCCTCCGGGCGCTCCGGTTTCCCCTATCATGAGTCTGTTGAGTGATGGTGATGGTAGGTGGGGTAGTCTGTCACCACACACCAACAACCCTGTAAGTCCTTTCCTATAGTTTATGTAATCTAGTTACAATACAATGCGTCTTGTCTTTCAGAGTTTACCATCAGAAATTGAAGTCAAGTACAAGATCGCTGAATGTTACACGATTTTGAAACTAGACAAAGATGCCATTGCTGTGCTTGATGGAATTCCTTCTCGGCAGCGGACACCGAAGGTACCTCAATGCTGTTACTGTTTGTGCTTTATTATCAGTGTTTTACAATAATTTTATTCCAAAGTGACGTATTTACTTCTTCTGTATGACAAAAACATTGCCTTTTTACACTAAACATGGGTTCCAGAATGTACACAAAAAAGAGTTGAACCTGTGAATCAAGTTTGTATGTTTGTATTGTGTTTCTGATGTGATGCTTTCAACTATTCATCAGTAATAGTTTGTATATAATTCATGGATTATAAACAATGTTAACTTTTTATCTTCTTAATCTTAAGTTTTCCTGTGTTTATTTTTTTATTTTCAGATCAACATGATGCTGGCAAACCTGTACAGAAAAGCGGGTCTGGAGAGGTCTGCGGTCACCAGCTACAAAGAGGTGCTCAGACAGTGCCCCCTCGCTCTGGACGCCATCATCGGTAAATCAAACATATTTACAAAGAATTAAGAATAAAACACGGTTGTCTTTAAGCCTCTCGATTGTTTGAATATCTAGAATACAAACAACATTCGTTCTGGGTCAATATTTTAGGACTTTAGATCAGGAATATGCAAAGTATTATCGACTTTTCTGGCAGATGGCTTTGTGAGCCTCGGGACAGTTAAAGTCTAAAAACAAACCTAGATTGAAAATGCATTTGAATTCATGTTTTTCTTGGATTGTGAATTGAAACAACCAGTTTTGTGTCCAGGCCTCCTGTCGCTGTCAGTGAAAGGGGCAGAAGTGGCCTCTATGACCATTGATGTGATTCAGACCATCCCAAACCTGGACTGGCTCTCGGTCTGGATCAAAGCCTATGCCTTCATCCATGTGGGGGACAACCAGAGGGCCATCAACACAATATGGTAACTGCACTTTTCGCACATATACATGATGGATGCAGGATTGGCATTAAAAGGATTGGGAATGCTAAATATACTACACTAAAATCATTATAATTTAAGATAAAAGCATATGATTTCAAATAAAATATTGTTAAATTTACCACATACCCTCACCTATGGTCATGAGCTTTGGGTAAAGGCCGACATGGATACAAGCTGTCAAAATATTAGTTCCCTTCACAGAGTGGCTAGGTGCTCCCTCAGAGATAGGGTGAGGAGCTCGGAGTAGAGCCACTGCTTCTCCATGTCGAGATGAGCCAGTTTAGGTGGCTTGGGCTGAGGCTGAGGCTGCAGACCCAGGAATCAGGCTGTAGACCCAGGACTGAGGCCAGGACGGAGGTCAAACTCTGTAATTATATAAGAGATGGAGGTCAACAACAATCAAAACCAGAATTGTGTAAAAGGGAAAATATGTGAGAAACAAAAATTGTCATAAAGATTCAAATCTTTTTTGTTGTCACCCATCAACTATGGTCTCTCTCTGGTCTCTCTCTCTGGTCTCTCTCTCTGGTCGCTCTCTCTGGTCGCTCTCTCTGGTCTCTCTCTCTGGTCTCTCTCTCTGGTCTCTCTCTGGTCTCTCTCTCTGGTCTCTCTCTCTCTGGTCTCTCTCTCTGGTCTCTCTCTGGTCTCTCTCTGGTCTCTCTCTCTGGTCTCTCTCTGGTCTCTCTCTCTGGTCTCTCTCTGGTCTCTCTCTCTGGTCTCTCTCTGGTCTCTCTGGTCGCTCTCTCTGGTCTCTCTCTCTGGTCTCTCTCTCTGGTCTCTCTCTCTGGTCTCTCTCTGGTCTCTCTGGTCTCTCTCTCTGGTCTCTGGTCGCTCTCTCTGGTCTCTCTCTCTGGTCTCTCTCTCTGGTCTCTCTCTGGTCTCTGGTCGCTATCTCTGGTCTCTCTCTGGTCTCTCTCTCTGGTCTCTCTCTGGTCTCTGGTCTCTCTCTCTGGTCTCTCTCTGGTCTCTGGTCGCTCTCTCTGGTCTCTCTCTCTGGTCGCTCTCTCTGGTCTCTCTCTCTGGTCTCTCTCTGGTCTCTCTCTCTGGTCTCTCTCTGGCCCCCCTTCTGGTAAACATTACTGGATTAAAGCTGGAGCTCTGCAACAATCAGGAGGACTGAAACATTTTCAAATTCAAAACTAAAGCTCAGATGTGAACGATTGTAATCACAAAAACAAGTTTAGAAGTCTGTTTGCATCTGTCGTTCCAGCTCTTTAGAGAAGAAGTCTCTGCTGAGAGATAACGTAGATCTGTTGGTGAGTTTGGCGGATGTTTACTTCAGAGCCGGAGACACAAAAAACGCCATCCTCAAATTTGAACAAGCTCAAATGTTGGACCCTTATTTGATTAAAGGTAAGATCAAGACTAAATATCATGTTGTTCCACGTGTTTAAACCGGTGCATTGTGCAGGCATGGATGTGTACGGGTATCTTATGGCTCGTGAAGGACATTTAGAAGATGTGGAGGTTTTGGGAGGACGGTTGTTCAACATTTCAGACCAACACGCCGAGCCCTGGGTCATTTCTGGGTGAGTTCAGATAACACTGTGTCACAATTTATTACAAATCTTTAGTGTAGTATTTCCATGTTGTCTTTATTGTTACTGACTGCAGAAACAAGTTGATCAATTAATCACATCTCATTGCCCTTTACCGAGGAGTTCTTTTGAAAAGCCAGATCTATTTCAGTGCCATACAACTACAGTTGTACCCCTTCTTGAGCCAATTCTTTCAAATATTTTCTTTGAAATGTTGTTCTTGACAAATAATAAAAACTTGATGATGAGAAGAACACAACCCAGAGATTTCTGTTTTTGCAAATTAATGTATAGAAATAGAATACTTGACTTCTGTAAATAGTCCAAGCTTTAAAACATGGTTAGTTCAGAGGAGAGAAATTGTGACCCTTTATTTTTAATTCATTATTAATTCACAGTACTTTCACCTCAACAACTGATGTGTTTGAGTAAGTTCTAGCAAAGAACAAAATACATAACAAAATTGTTATTTGTCTCACTATGGCGGGGCATGCCTGTGACTTTAGTTAATTGAAAAGGGTATAGAGCTTCTAAAATACTTCTATAATGTAAAATATAGAATGGGATAAACCTGAATTAAATGATTTCTCAGTGGGGAAATGTCAATATCATAGAGCACTCAGGTTATGCACACATCAGGTTACAAATGCTAAATTAAATTGTTAAAGACAAGGATGAACTTCACGCCTTGTGTCACTCACTTTCCGTGTTATTGATTGTGTTGTTTAATTCTTCAGATGTCACAGCTTCTACAGTAAACGATATTCTCGTGCTCTGTACCTCGGGGCCAAAGCCATCCAGCTGAACAGCAACAGTGTGCAGGCTCTTCTCCTGAAGGGGGCAGCACTGAGGAACATGGGCCGAGTGCAAGAGGCTATAATCCACTTCAGAGAAGCCATGCGCCTGGCCCCATGTCGACTGGACTGCTACGAAGGTCTGTCTCACATGATCTGTCTATGATCGTATCTCAGAGTTTAATGGACGTCATGAGTTTGATTATATGTGACTTTGTTGTGACTGTTTAGAAATAATATAATGAACTTCTCGGTACATCTTCTGAATATTCCTTTTGCAGGCCTGATTGACTGTTACCTAGCGTCTAACGGGATCCGTGAGGCGATGGGAATGGCCAACAATATTTACAAGACTCTGGGCGCAAACGCTCAGACGCTCACCATCCTCGCCACGGTCTGTCTGGAGGACCCGGTGACCCAGGAGAAGGCCAAGAGTCTGCTGGACAAAGCCCTGGCCCAGAGACCGGACTACACCAAGGCCGTGGTCAAGAAGGCCGAGCTGCTGAGTAAGCATTTCACATCGAATGAATCCATTTTATGACCTAAGGTTTTGAGTTAAACTGACTGACTCTGCAGTTACTGTGTTTTAGTTTGGTTTGATCATGTTTTAGTAAGTAATGTTTTTTGATATGGTGCAATTCACAAACCAAGGGCTCTCAAAGCGCTTTTACAAATTATACTTTAATTAGTAGAAACAAATGTAGTATATATATTGGGGCGGCACGGTGGCTGATGAGTGGATAGCACTCGCTTCTCAGGAAGAAGGTCCTGGGTTCGTATCCTGGTAGGAACAGGGTCTTTCTGAGGGGAGTTTGCATGTTCTCCCCGTGTCTGCGCAGGTTTCCTCCGGGTGCTCCGGTTTCCCCTACCACTAAAACCATGTACAATAGGTCTGAATGTAGATGAGAGAGTGAATGGATGGTGTTGGAGCTGATGGTCCAGTGTGTTCTGGACTCACTTCTGTCATCACCGTGTGTGGAATGATTGGAACAATATCTGAACTCTGAACATTGTAAAGAGCTTTAAGTGACTTTGGTCTGTAAAATGCGCTATATATAAATAAATAAACATTATTATATATTTTATGTGAAGAAAAAAAAACTTTTTACCAGACCTGGAGTTGTTTTTAGATCCATCCACGTTAAATTGTTGGGAACTTCCTGGCACAAACGTTTGACTTCGCCCCTTCTGTCTAAAAGCTCTTGTCTATTATATTATGATGTCATTATAACAGCAGAAAATTCAATTTCTGGGTCGGGGGGGGGGGCAATCAGAGCTGCCACCCAAGTCTCAAAGCACCAGTCCCACCAGTACAGCAAAAAAATATTGCCCATAAATAAGGTTTGGCAATCTCTCCGGTGAAATGACATTCTTTACAGCCGTAGATGTACACATTTGTAAAATAAAAAAACAATATAACCTTCTAAAAGTTGTCTCATTATCATATCTAATGTGCAAAAATGATGCACTATACTTATTCTTTCGCCGAATAACTCGCAAAAACACATTTGACCAAACTGTCAAACTGTGACATGAAGAACTTATCAGATGACTGAGGCGCCCGCTGTGAGTTCTCAGTCTCTTCTGTGTCTTTACCAATGCTTTTTAGATATTTGTGAAGTATGTTCATGTCCGACTTGGTTTTCCTAATCGTATTTTTACCTTTCTGGTCTGTAACGAAGTTGTCAATCTCTTCTTGACTGTTACTGGCTCTTGGAACTCGTCCTGATAATAGAATTAACTGAAAATGCTCCCAGTCATCGCTCATTATTTCTTTTTTACCGAGGAAAGATATCAAATCTGATGCGCGCTGCAGACCAATTGTCATGGCAACGGTCCGAGATGGGAAAATATCAGACCGCAAATCAGCCAATCAGAGCGCGCGTACGATCCAAGTCATATAATACATCATATTTATACAGCGCGAAATATTTTATCATAAGTCACAATATGAAATCCAAGCTCACCGTCTGATTTTTATGTGTGTGTTTGTGTGTACCGTGTTCAGGTCGAGAGCAGAAGTACGACGAGGGAATCGCTCTTCTGAGAAACGCTCTGGCCAATCAGAGCGACTGCGTGCTGCACAGGATGCTGGGAGATTTCCTGGTGGCGGTGAACGACTACCAGGAGGCGATGGACCAGTACAGTATCGCTCTGAGGTAAACAGCACTTGTATTTAGAGCTGTGGACCCCCTGGTTACTTCAACCTTTTTCAATCAGAGAGATACTTCTATACAAACAGGCAGAGAGCTACCCCTAATATTTACAACCAAACTCAGAGAACACATATAAAATACACCATAATACTGTAAAACCCTATATTTATACTGATAATAGATATGTAATGGGTCAAAAAGTATTCGTTGAAGTGTATTTTTAAAATTCTAATTCCTTTGGCGAGCTACCTGTAAGGGGCTGGCGAGCTACTGGTGGCTCCCGAGCTACAGGTTGGAGACCCCTGCTTCAATGGGTGTGTCATTTAAATACGGTCAAAAGTTGTGCCACGAGCTAATTAGACTAACTAGTAGATTATATTTCAGATGTCTATATGTGAGTAAGATTAATTGCCGTCATACACACTAATCTGCCATTTCACCAAGACGCAACCAAATTCATATACAAATACCTCCTTCCCTATCATTCCTTGCCGTCTCATTTTTATTGATCTTTTACCAATAAAGCGTTAAGGGTTAGTTTTGGTTTTACTTGACCAAAACTGGACCTAACCTGTCTCAAGATAATTGTTAAAAGACATGTAAGGATAAGGAGGCAAAAAGTTGGACGCAGCCAAAACACATGAACCATTCCTTCTTCTGAGTCACTTCATGAGGCGTTTGGGCTGAGAGCTGATTGGCTGTTCAAGGTTTGTTCTATGTTTACTTGTTTTTTCTGTCTGAAGAAGTTGTTGAAGAAAGAGAGAAGATATTATACATACAGGTTAAAGCTGGGGTACCTACATTTTGTGTTTCATAGATGAAAAGCTTATAAGTAAAATCCTGCCTTCCTCTTAGAAAACAATTTATCTTTTGCAAACTTTTATTTATTTTTTTCATTTATTGTTTATCGATTGTTTTTTATAGACAACAAAAAACAAAATATAACACAAACACACTAAAGTAGCATGACAAAACTTGGGGATTTAAAATGATCTTTTCAAATAAAATCTAATCGTCCTCACAAATTTAAGCCAATGTTTCCATATTTCTTCAAATTTTTCACTTTCCAGCCTTATACTTGCGGTCATCTTCTCCATTGTAAAAATATCTTTCATCACATCTAACCAATTTTCTTTGGATGGGCTCCTCCTTCAGCCAATTTCGAGTAATACCCTTTTTCCCAGCTAACAGCATAATTCTAAACAACTTCAAATTCAAATCCTTTTTAAGTCTCACATTAACTTTTCCCAAATAAAACAATTCAAATGTAAATGGTGAATCTGTACGTAAAACAATGTCCATACATGCCTTCAGTTCTTTCCAGTATCTCTGCACTAAGGGACAGAACCAGTATACATGGACAGGATTTGCCACTTTTTCTCCACACTGTCTCCAACAGCTTGTGTTTTTGCTAACTTTTAAGAAAGAGCCCTGGATGTCACAATTTGACACCTTTGGGCCAAAATAATATGCATATGAAAACTAGTGGATCAACTTGTTTTGAGAGTGAGGAACTAGTATAGATTTGTATTATATGTATGTATATGTATTTTCTGGTTTGAATGTCAGCTACACCAGATTGGAACAAGTTTGATCTAAGTTTGTGGTTCGGAAGTCCGTAACCCCAGCTTTAGCCGCTTGTCCCGCTCTCGACTCTGACATTCTGACCTGCTCTGTCTTTGTTCCCGCAGCCTGGACCCGAACGATCAGAAGTCTCTGGAAGGGATGCAGAAAATGGAGAAGGAGGAGAGCCCGACGGACGCCACGGTGGAACTGGACGGAGACGACATGGAGGGCAGCGGCGAGGAGGGCGAGCTGGAGGGCAGCGACAGCGAGGCGGCGCAGTGGGGGGACCAGGAGCAGTGGTTTGGGATGCAATGACCCAGGAGCTGATGGGAGAGATGAGCCGGACTGGAGCCCCATACATGGAGGTTGTGATGTCACGTGAATAATTTTGTCTCATAACATTTCTGCAGCTTCTACAGCACTTCTCGGTCCTCCCCTTTTTGTAAAGCGTTGTTGATGCTAACTTAGCATGGTTAACAATGCTAAACTGTTAGCATAGCATTAGCTTACCGTGTCAATTGAAGCCACTTAAAGGTGATGCCAGCAACTTCAATTGTATTCCATATTTACTTTAATGCATATTTTTTTCCGTATATTTTTACTTTATGTAAATTGAGGTGGTTTTCAAATTTTCTGGAGGAGAATAGTTTTTGACCAATGGCAAAGAATTTCAATTGATGTCATCCAATCAGGAAGCTGTGGGGGTGAACATGGGCGGGTCTTGCTTGAAATTATTCTCTCTCTTCTCAATTTGAAAAGGAACTGGTATTCACTTTAAAGCTGGGGTACCTAATTCTCATGCTTGCTCTAGTTTCACATGCATGTACTTTTTGGTGAACAAGAGGATCACATGGCCTGATTCATTCACATTGTTACTTTTCACTTTTTTTGTTCTTAAAATGCATGATCCCAGCTTTGAAACTTATTTTCTTAAGCAACTCCCTCTGATGTTTTGTCTCCTCACTCTTTACTTAAATCGTACAACTTTTTCTGTACTAACAAAGGGATTTAAAGGACTTTTTTCTCGCCTTTTGAAGCTTAATACTGGGAAATGAACTTTTTTTGAATGTAGTGTACAGCAGTAGTTTGGTGGGTACTGACCTGGACACATTTGGATCCAAGTAAAAATGTGACGATTGCCTTTGAAATCTTTAAGAAGTCAAGCTGGATCTCTCAAATAATTACGGCAAATGTGGAGGAGAAAACAAACTGATTTAAGAAAGAAAGTTTGAAATCTTGTGTTTTCAAACGTTGGGGAGTTGTTACCATTTCAAACAGTTGTTAATAGTATTTTGTACATATTTTTTAAGATGTATAAAAGTGTCTTATCTGTGCCTTGGTCGAGTCTTTCCACGTCTTGTCTGCATTAAAATGGACTGAGGTTTTAGGAATCAAGAGTTTCCCATTTGTTTGCACTTGAATAGAGGAAAGATCTTCCACAAATATTTGTGATATTTTTGACTCATAAAAACAAACAATACTGACTTTGAAGGAAGAGAAGTGTAGGATTTATTTAGCATTTTGCATCATAATTTAACTAACTCAAAGTCTATGTTTGAGTGACAGTGGCTCAGTTGGTAGAGCATTGGCCTTTGGGCCTGGAGATCGTGGGTTTGAGCCCACTGTGGGACCTACTCCAACTGCTCCCACAAATGTCTGTCGTGTCCTTGGGCAAGACACTGAACCCCACGTTGCCTGAAGCTCCTGCTGAAAGACCAAGGCTGTTTCACCGCTGACGGAGCAGCCATCTTCCTGTGGACTCACCCCCTGCAGAGGATCAGCGAGGGACCGGTGCTTTGAGCGTTGGGTGCAGCTCTCATTGCCACCCCCCCGACCCAGAAATGGACTAATAAAAGGGGTTGAAAATGAAATGAAAGTCTATATTTCTATAATTATTCTTACTGCAAATACTAGTCTAGTCAAAAACATTTTCAAGACTCGCAACTTGGCAAAGTTACGAATTCAAAGCTTTACATTTGGTAAAAGGCTTTTCCTTTTTGTCTCTGAGATCTAAGTGAAATGTTTTTAACTTTATCTGGATGGTAAAAGTGCACCAACCAATCCCACCGAAACTATTTGCGATGATATAAAACACTTCCGACACAATTCAGAAACTCATGAAGTAGTTTTATTCACGTATATATTGTACAATCTCAAAATACAGTACTTCCTGCCACTGTTCTATTATTATGCACAAAGTCTGTGCAAAAAAAACAAAACAAAAACTGTTTGGTTTTCAACGTTACATAAAATTATTTCCTTTAAAAATATGATTTGAGCTTATATTGACAACAGCACATTCTGAATCTACTTTTCCTCATAAATTGGTCTAATCTATTTCACAACATGGCAGGCATGCTCACTCACTGTACACTGTAAGATCTGAAATCGGTGGCTTGAATTATGATCAATTAAAACTCAACATGCAGCGTTTTTTTTAAGGTTTGCTGCTTTTGAAACACGCATGCACAACAAAAAACAAAAATAACAGAAACCGGATTTGAATGAGGAGTGAGCTGAGCTGGACTTTACTTGAACATTGCTGCAAAAGAAGAAAAGAAACGTATGAGGAATGCATCATGGTCAATGGCAGAGTGAGTGATCAGGAGACTCAAGTGATGTTTCACACAAGATTATCCAATTTATTATGAAAAGACTAAATCAGGAGCTACAAACAACATGATCCGCCCACCGACCATCTTCCAAAAGCAAGAATTATACATATATATCCTGTTTATCAGCTCTGTCAGAGTTTAAACTTTAATTTGGAAGAATTTGACATTGATTATTAAATACAGTAGATCAGACGCTGACAAGAATCATTCAAACAGATCCAATGGTGAGTGAATGAAGTGGAGTTTATCAGGCGCACACCTCATTACCTCTGAAATATCTGCCTCGGAAGAAATATATTTAATGGTATTAGACCATGGTTTACATAGACCATTAACAAAATGGAACTATTTTGTTTTTCCCCTCTATCCAAGTCGTCAATAAAAAGATATGATACATTTGCAACTTGACAAACTTATATATGAACCCAAGACTCAGCCAGATTCCTTAAAACGTATTTTTTAATTGCACTGTGAATGTGTTCATTAATAAAGTATAGTATACAGTTTATCATTTGTATTAAAAGGTTTTTGAACATGGATTTATCTATCTATCCCGTAGTTTGTCACTCAGAAGGGGAGTCATAAACAACAGCACCACCTTTGTCGCCGGGGGAGAGAGAATCCCTCTTCTGTCTGAACAACCTATCAGAAGTTTGGGGAGGGAGTATTCTGCAGAGCTCTCTGATAAACAGATGGGGAGGACCGTCATGAAACAGCTTTCAGACGGCCTGGCAAGGATCGACCAAAGCGAGCTCCCTGGGAAATACAAGGTTTGGTGCTACCAATTCACACTCTATAGGAGACTGATGTGGCCCCTGAAGATGAGTGAGATCCCCTCATCCACCGTGAGGAAGATGGATGGAAAAGCCAACGCCTCCATCAGAAAGTGGTTGGGGCTACCACGGTGCCTCTCTGACTCTGGCCTCTTTGGGAGGAACGCGCTGCAACTGCCACTGCAGTCCCTAAGTGTGGGCTACATGCAAGAGAAGGCCAGGCTGGTTCTCGAGCTGAGTCAGTCCACCGACGAGTCTGTAAGGAATGCAAAAGCCAAGGTTCCCACTGGCCGAAAGTGGAACGCAGAAGCAGAAGTGGGCCATGCGGTTAGCAGGTTGCAGCATCGAGAGATCGTGGGCAGAGTCCAGGCAGGAAGAGCAGGTCTAGGGTGGGGAGAGGCACCACGGTTCTGGTCAAAGGCCACTCGCAAGGAGAAGAAGGAGATGGTGGTGGCAGAAGTGACGAGGATGGAGGAAGAGCGCTATAAGATCAAGGCCGTCTCACAGGGCCGGCAAGGAAGATGGACAACTTGGGAGGGAGTTGTCGACCGCAATATCAGTTGGTCTGACCTGTGGAAGATCCCGCAGGCGAGGCTCAGCTTCCTTATCCGTTCAACCTATGACACGCTTCCCTGTCCTCGTAACCTGCACCAATGGTTTGGCAATGAGGAATGCTGCTCACTCTGTAACGCTCCCAACGCAAGCCTTCAACACATCTTGTCAGGCTGCAAGATTGCGCTCTCCCAGGGACGCTACAGGTGGCGCCATGACCAGGTCCTCAGGAAGCTCGCCGAGGTCCTGGAAAGGTGCAGACAGGGTAACAAACAGCTACCACCAGCAAAGAGCCACACCAACTTTGTCAGGGAAGGGGATGGGCAAAGTTACACCAGGCCAAAAGAGACATCGCGGCCCTTTGCCCCCAACCAGGAGTGGGACATGAGGGTTGACCTTAACAAACAGCTCCAATTCCCCACGGAGATCACCATCACATCTCTCCGCCCTGACATTGTGGTTTGGTCTTCAGAGGCAAAAGTGGTGCATCTCATTGAACTCACAGTTCCATCAGAAGGGGAGATCGAGGCTGCCTACGAGCGCAAGAAGGCCAAGTATTCCGAGCTGGCTGCAGAGTGCCGGGAGGCTGGATGGAAGGCCGCCATCTACCCTGTTGAAGTTGGCTGCCGAGGCTTCGTGGGGCTGTCAATGATACGGCTCTTGAGGGATGCAGGAGTCACGGGGGGAAAGCTGCGCAGGGCCACAAGAGAGCTTTCGGAGGAGGCGGAAAAGGGCAGCTTCTGGCTCTGGTTGAGGAGGAAGGATAGGAGTTGGGGAAAGTATAGCTAAACCTCAATGACAGCTGCGGGGGATAACATTCTCCAGCTGCAGGGAGTGACAAGGAGACGTCCTTGTCACTGCTCCGCCACCATGAGACGTTCCAGGATTAAAGGGGCGAAACGTTGGTGATTGGTGGTTCCTGGCTGATGACCCTGCAGCTGACCCTGCAGCTGACCCATGGGCACCGGAGGAGGTGCGACAGGCAGCAATGCTAAGCAGGAAATTACATCCACCTGTATACATCAACTGATGATCTGGCAACCCAGTGACTACTGTGAACAGGGCAGTTGGAGTCCAGGGAAGACTGGAGGACAGCCAGGAAAGTCTGGTTGACAGCAGGGAAAGACCGCACTGGGAGTGGGCGGCTAGTTACCCAACCCACTAGTCTCTTGGAAAAGAGACACCCATGCCTAACTACGAAGAATCTTAAGAGAAAACAACCCGCAGGCCCTCCGAGAGGCGGGATGAAAGATGGGCCTAACAGGACGGACCACACGGCAACGACAACTGCAATGGAAAAGGACAACGAAAGCACCAGAAACTCAGACAGAGAGGAGAAGGTCCTCCGAAAGTGTGCTTGTGGATGGGAGAAGGT